CCTCCAACAGTTTGAGGGACTGTGACCTGGCCCTCTGTTTAAAAAGTTTGTGGACCCCTGTCCTAGAGGGCCGCTTCACCTAGCAAATGCCAGTCCTTCAACTAGCCACAGACAATCCAGTGACACCATAGAGGGCCACTCCACCTAGCCACAGCTAATCCAGTAACAACACATATAGTCGCTCCACCTTGAACCGCCAATCTTTCGCTTAGGCACAGCCAATCTAATGATATCCTAGAGGGCCACTTCACCTAGCAACAGCCAGTCCTTCAACTAGCCACAGACAATCCAGTGACACCATAGAGGGCCACTTCACCTAGCAACAGCCAATCCTTGGCCTAACCACAGCCAATCCATTGATATGCTAGAGAGCCAGTTCACCTAGCCACAGCTAATCCCTCACCTAGCCATAGCCAATCCAGTGACACCACAGAGGGCCGCTTCACCTAGCCACAGACAATCCTTTAGCTAGGTGCAGCTAATGACAGCACAGAGGGCCACTTCACCTAGCCACAGACAATCCTTTGGCTAGGCGCAGTCAATCCAATGACACCACAGAAGGCCACTTCACCTAGCCAGCCACAGCTAAATTTTCACCTAGCTACAGCTGATCCAGTGACACCACAGAGGGCCACTTCACCTAGCCACAGACAGTCCTTTAGCTAGGCACAGCTAATGACACCACAGAGGGCCACTTCACCTAGCCACAGCTAAATTTTCACCTAGCTACAGTTGATCCAGTGACATAGAGGGCTGCTTCACCTAACAGCCACAAATCCTTCACTTAGCTATAGCCAATCCAGTGACATTGTAGAGGGCCACTTCACCGAGCCACAGCCACTCCTTTGTCTAGGCACAGCCAATCCAGTGACACCACAAGGAGCCACTACACCTAGCAGCAGCCAAATTCATTTAGCCACAGCTAGTCCAATAACATCCTAGAGGGCCACTGCACCTAGCAACAGCCACCCCTTCCCCTAGCCACAGCTGGCACAGCCACGAAGACACCCCCATTAGTCACTGTCCCCCTAAGACAGAAAATGTTGACCATTTCCACTACCTTGGCAGCCACCTCTCCACAAAAGTCAGCATTGACACTGAAGTACAACACAGCCTGAACTCTGTGAGTGCTGAATGGCCTCTTTGTCCAGATGCCTGACCACCATCTCCCAAAGCAGTTGCTCTACTCTGAATTCAAGAACGGGAAATGGAATGTTGGTGGGCAGGAAAAGAGATTTAAGGATGGGCTCAAAGCCAACCTTAAGAACTGTGGCATAGACACTGAGAACAGGGAAGCCCTGGCTCTTGAACGCTCTAGCTGGAGGTCAGCTGTGACCAACAGTGCTGCAGAATTTGAAGAGGCACAAATGGAGGCCGAAAGGTAGAAATGGCTAAGAGGAAAGTGTGTCAAGCCAACCCCAACCGGGATCACCTTCCTTCTGGAAACCGATGTCCTCACTGTGGGAGAACATGCGGATCAAGAATAGGACTCCACAGCCACCTACGGACCCACTGCCAAGACACCACTTCTGGAAGACCATCATCCTCAAGCTATGAGGGTCACCTAAATAAGTAAAGCATCTGTTTTTTGCCTAAGTGTGGTATCTTACATTTCTCCCTGTTTAAATTCATTTTTTTTGGCTTTGTCCCAGCTCTGTAATCTGTTAAAGCCATTTTGGAACCTGATCCTATCCTCTGGGATATTATCAAATTTGATTGACTTGCCTTCTATTCAATTATCCAAGTCATTGGATGTATTCCGAGAAGGGTGACCAAAATGGTAATGGTTCTGGAAGCCATGCTCTACGAGGAGCTGAGTATATTTAGCCTGGAGAAGAGCGTTTAAGAAGGGACAATATAGCCATATTTCAATATCTGAAAGGATTCCATATTGAAAATGAGCAGGCTTGTTTTCTGCTCTTATGGATTCAAACTGCAGGAAAAGAGGAAGACCTTCCTGGTAGTAAGAGTTGTTTCATAGTGAAATATGCTGCCTAGGAGTGTGAAGGGGGCCTTCTTTGGACGTTTTTCATTCGAGACTTGATAGCCAGTTATTGGGAATGCTTTGAATGCATTTTCCTGCATGGCAGGTGGTTGGACTGGATGGCCCTTCCCCTTGTGGCCTCTTCCAACTCTTGATCCTATTCATCTGAAATGTGGTCTTCTTTTTTCTACTTCCTTCTACCATACCAAGCATTACTGCCCATTGCAGTGAGTCATGTTTCCCCATGACACGTCCAAAATACAGCAGTTTCTATTTAGTCATCTTGATTTCTAGGCTTGGTTTGTTCTTGTGATCATTTCTTTGTGTTTCTGGAAGTTCATTATATCTGCAGAACTCTTCTCCAGCACAGAATTTCAAATGACTTGATTTTGTTTCTATCAGCCTTTGTCACTGTCCAGTTTTCACAACCATACACAGAAAGTGGAAATATGATGACATGGACAACCTAACTATAATATTCAGTGGTATATTTTTACACTTGATCTCGCCTAGTTCCTTCATAGGCTCTATGTACAGTACATTTACCATGTATGGTACGCTGGAGGAGATCATCCAGAGTTTCAGGGTGCGGTGTCATCTGTACGCACATGATGTCCAACTCTGTCACTCCTTCCCACCTGCTACTAAGGAGGCTGTTCAGGTCCTGAACCGGTGCTTGGCCGCTGTGACGGTCTGGATGAGGGCGAACAAATTGAAATTGAATCCAGACAAAACAGAAGTACTCCTGGTCAGTATTAAGGCCAAACAGGGCATAGGGTTACAGCCTGTGTTGAATGGGGTTACACTCCCCCTGAAGACGCAGGTTTGCAGCTTGGGTGTGATCCTGGATTAATCACTGAGCCTGGAACGCCAGGTGTCAGCAGTGACCAGGGGAGCATTTGCACAATTAAAACTTGTGCGCCATCTGCGCACGTACCTTTCCTCCAACACCACAATTCAAAAGCATCTATCTTCCTTCGCTCAGCCTTCCCTATAGTTCAGCTCTCACATCCGTAGGTTACTACGGGGAATACCATTGCTTTTACTATGCGGATCTTCGTTGCCAGTGTGATGTCTCTACTCTTCACTATTTTTATCTTCTCGCAGTCCAAGGCACTCTCAGAACTTTCCTCCAACACCACAGTTCAAAAGCGTCTATCTTCCTTCTTTCAGCCTTCCCTATGATCCAGCTCTCACATCCATAAGTGACTACAGGGAATACCATTGCTTTGACTATGTGGATCTTCGTTGCCAGTGTGATGTCTCTACTCTTCATGTTATTGAGATTGGTCATTGCTCTGTGTGCCATATTTGGTTCAATTCCATCATTGGTGGAGTTCAGAATGCTCTTTGATTGTAGGTGAACTATACATCCCAGTAACTACACTTGCCGCACTTGCTCCCTTGCCTGGCCTGCTTTGGGTCCGGAGGTGTGCCTGAATACCCCGGCGTGTGCACCAAAAGTCACCTCTTCTCCTGACTTTCTCCTCAGCCATTGGGACCAAGAGAGAGAGAGAGAGGTGGAGATGCCCACCTTTCCTGAAGGTAGGCGCAAAAACAAAGGAGGGAGCGGAGGTGGGAGATACCTCCAGCCGGAGGGGCTCTCTCTCTCTCTCTCTCTCTCTCTTGGTCCCAATGGCTGAAGAGAAAGTTAGGAGAAGAGGCGACTTTTGGTGCGCATGCTGGGGCATGTAGCCGGGGGGGCCTTGGGGGGCTTCAGCCCCCCCCCCCCAAATTCTCATGGTGGTTCGCGAAAAGGCCTTACTGGTGCATTATTTAAACTGTTATGTTTATTCATATCATGATCTGATCACCCTACTCAATATATCCCATATGCATGGGGGTATTGGGGTAATGATACAAAAGGTTTGCTAGGGTAGACCCTCTTTCACTCAGACTCAGCCCCCCCGAACTAAACTCAGCCCCCCTGAACCGAACTCAGCCCCCTTCCCCCCGAAACAAAATCCTGGCTACGGGCCTGTGCTGGGGTCTTCATACATGCCTCCGGACCCAAAGCGGGCCAGGCGCGGCGGCTCCGCCCCTTGGCCCACCCGCGGATTGGGGAGAGGAGAGGAGGCGGGTGGTGCGCTGGGGGATCGGGAAAGGAAGCCAGTCATGGGGAAGGGATCGAACACAGAGAACAATTGAACACATGCACCCGGTAGCTCATGCACCCGGTAGCCGTGTGGAGCAGGAACGAGAGGGGCTAGGCGAGGCTCAAGGGCCCGGCCCCTTTGGGAAGAGGATCGCCCAGCAGCGAGGCAAGAAAGCCGAGGCTCCCCCTGGACTGCTAGGGCTGTTGTGAGCTGAGGGGGCGCTCCTCAAGTGGCGGTCGAGGGGCATTTACAGAGGCACCTCTGCGCCCCTGGCAAAAAAAAAGTGTTCTGCGACCGCTTACTTTGCGTAATGGATGAGCCGCCCCTGAGCAGGTGTCTGCAAACAGAGGCTGGATGGCCATCTGTTGGGAGGTGCTTTGAATGCAATTTTCCTGCTTCTTGGCAGGAGGTTGGACTGGATGGCCCATGAGGTCTCTTCCAACTCTATGATTCTGTAGGAAAGAATACAATCAAGCTTGAGATGGGACAGAATGCAATTCTAACAGAACAGCTCAAGTGTAGACGATTCTCCCCGCCCCTTTATTGGGTGATGTCCTTAGGCGAGAAAGCTTCAAGGTCAGGGTTTGTTCTGAAAGCCTTTCCTTCCTCCCTCAGGGAAAGTGGTGATTCCTCTCCTTGCGCGGAATGTCCCTCAGGGCTCTCCGTAGCTCGGGACTTCCCGCACTGGGGGCTCCGCGCGGGCTGTGATTGGAGCATTTCCGCCTGGGAAACAAGGGGCGCGAGACGGAGCCGAGGGAGGGAGTGAGGGCAGGGAGCGGCCGCTGCGGACAGCTCCTCCCCAAGGGCTGGGCCGCCCCCTCGCTCACTCTTCAGGGACCGGGCTCTCCTCAGCCCACTCGCGGCGGCGGACGGCGGAGCAGCCAGGTGAAGGGCTCGTCCGGGGCGGGGGGCGGGGCGGAGAGGAGCGGCCCCCTTCCAGGGCTTCCCTCACTACCTTAGGCCTCGCCCACAGGCCCCTTCCTCCTCTGGGCTTCCCCAGGAGCGCGAAGGAGGCGTGGCCAGGGCGGAGGAGGTGTTTTGACACCTCTCGCCCCCTCTCCTCGATGCTGTGCAGTCCGAGGAGCTGCGGTTCTGCGCCACACAGGGCCGGGGCCTCGCCCAACAACCCCCGGAATCCATGGCACTGAGCCACCTCCGAGTTGCCACCGCTTTGCAGCATTTCAACAGGGAGGAGCATCAGATCCTGCACTGAGGCAAGGGGAGAAGTGAGATAGAATCATAGAATCAAAGAGTTGGAAGAGACCTCACATGGGCCATCCAATCCAACCCCCTGCCAAGAAGCAGGAATATTGCATTCAAATCACCCCTGACAGATGGCCACCCAGCCTCTGTTTAAAAGCTTCCACCACACTCCGGGGCAGAGAGTTCCACTGCTGAACGGCTCTCACAGTCAGGAAGTTCTTCCTCATGTTCAGATGGAATCTCCTCTCTTGTAATTTGAAGCCATTGTTCCATTGCGTCCTAGTCTCCAGGGAAGCAGAAAACAAGCTTTCTCCCTCCTCCCTGTGGCTTCCTCTCACATATTTATACATGGCTATAATATCTCCTCTCAGATTGGAATGCCAACCTTTTGGTCAGCAAGTTTAGCAACTCAGTGGTTTAACCCACTGCACCATCAGGGGGCTTCTAGACAGGCCCTATATCCCAGTATCTGATCCAAGGTTTTCTGCATTCAACTGTATTATATGAGTCCCCATTGCCAGATAATCTGGGATAAACAGCAAATCTGGGATCATATCCTAGGATATAGGGCCTGTCTGGAAGGGCCCTGGGACTCAAAGCCATGGCTTCAAATTACAGGAAAGGAGATTCCACCTGAATATTAGGAAAAACTTCCTAACTGTAATAGCTGTTCAGCAATGGAACTCTCTGCCTCGGAGTGTGGTGGAAACTTCTTCCTTGGAGCCTTTCAAAGCTCGATGGCCATCTGGCAGGGGTACTTTGATTCTGCTTTTCCTGCATGGCAGGGGGTTGTAATATTCTTATAGTGTATGTTTTATGTAATTGATTATGTTGTTGTTTATGTTTTGATTTTATTTTGTTGCTGTGTTTTTGGGCTTGGCCTCATGTAAGCTGCCCTGAGTCCCCATTGGGAAATGTGGCGGGGTATAAATAAAGATTATTATTATTATTATTAGTAGTAGTAGTAGTAGTAGTAGATGACCCATGTAGTCTTATCCAACTCTATGATTCTAAGAGGAGAATAGCATCTAGCTTGAGAGAAGTCATAGTCCCACTCTATTCTGTTTTGATCAGACCTCATCTAGAATAACACTGTGTCTAGAGCATCACAATTCAAGAAGGGTATTGACTAGCTGGAACATGTCTTAGAGGAGGGTGACATAAATGATCCCTATGTGAATCAGCTTAAAGGACTGGGTATGTTTAACCCGCAGACGAGAAGGTTGAGAGGTGACATGAGAGCTATGCTGAAATATTTCGAAGAATGTCATACTGAGGAGGGGGTAAACTTGTTTTCTTCTGCTCTGGAGACTAGGCATAATGGAGCAATGGATTCAAATGACAGCCGAAGAGATTCCACTTCAACATTTGGAGGAACTTCTTCACAGTATGAGCTATTTAACAGTGGAATATGCTGCCTTAGATTGTGGTGGAGTCTCCTTTATAGGTTTCTCAATAAAGACTAGTTGGCTGTTGGGAGTGCTTTGATTGTGTGTTTCCTGCATGGCAGGGGGTTGGACTAAATGGCCCTTGTGGTCTCATCTAGCTATAGATATACAGTGCAGATGCATCCTTGTGGAGCAGCTCTAGGCTAATTCAGCAAAGCAAGATTACCAGGACTGAATATTAGGAAGAACTTCCTAACTGTTGTTCAGTTAAAAGGGGTCCTGTTGGATTCCAGAAATTGTACACTGGCTTTCAGAAGAATTCTGTGCTTGGTTTGTGCAAAAATAAGGCCCAATAAGTGTACAGGCATTCCCTCAAAATTTCTACACAGAGACCAGATGCCTCAGCAAACTATAGTATCTTTGCTTTTGGATGCCTGGAGTTCACAGTAACCTGTGCTTTCTAGCCTTTTCTCACCTGCACCACCATTTGTGTGATAAAGGCTTCTCAGACCCCTTCTACACTGTTTTCAAATCCCAGGATGTGATTCCAGGCTATCTACTTTGAACTGAATTATATGAGTCTACTGCTAAATAATTTGGGATAAACAGATAATCTGGGATCAGATCCTGGGATATATGGCAGTATAGAAGGGGGCTCAGTTGTAGTTTGAATCTTCCCTTCTGTTAGCTTTCTTGCTTTCAAACTTTTCTGCACTCCAGCCTTGTACATGTAGTGTTACCTTGTGTTGATATCTGGCCGCACTTGAGTTTGGGATACTGTTACAGCAGCTGCACTTGCCCTCCAAGCAGGAGTCAAAAAGTTTCCAGCTAGAGTTAGTACAGGTCGTTGTGTAACTTTTCTGCCCTTAATACAGTGGCCACTTTATGTCCACTGGAGTTTGATTTTGTTACCCTTCGCAGACACCAAAATCCTTTGATGCTCAGGACCCATGCTATACAGTGGTATCGTAAAATGGTGTCCCTCATTAAAAAAATAGCAAAATCAAGGTTGTCCTTTTGGATTAACATAAATAAATAAAGCTGTGGATAATTCCTTCTAATGTCAAATACAATGCAGCTCAGTGTTGTCAGGGATAGATGCTACAGAAAAATAATGAAGATCATATGATGCTTCCCCCTCCTGACAGTTGAGTGTACTCAGAGATATCCAGAATGCACAAAATACTGGCTTGGGGGAGGGGGGTTGGTATACATGTGCTTTTTACAGCCAGAAATATCCCCAGGAAGAACATGCCTGTCAGTACTAACAGAGGTTGGGGATACACTGCACCATTTTCTTGCAAGTCCCACATGTTTTTCATGAAGATCTTCACAACATGGATAGGGTGTTTGACTAATCAGAAAAATATATTTGTCAAGTATTTTTTAAAACTTAGAGAATATATATATGAACAGTACTTACTTGTATGTTCATTACTATTGATCAGCTATTACAAAACCAAATAACATTCTTGCAGCTGTAGTAAAGTATTCTAATGGTTAACAATGTTAGCTAAGGTCACAAATGAACCACCTATAGAAACCTTAGCTAACATTGTTATCTTTCTGGAATCACCCGAGGAGGTTGGGAATTGGAGGCACTATCCTATGCACTATGATTCTCATCCTGTCTCTCAGGTAGATTCCAGGTGGTGTTGCTGGACAATAGCTGCTTTTTAAAGTCCTGTTCTGTCTCCAGTGCTGTTGAATATCTATATGCAACTACTGCGAGACATCATCAGGAGGCATGGAACATCAGGCTATCTGTTGACACCCAAATGTATTTCTCTTGCTGAGTTGCTGTTAAATTTTTGGGCTGTATGGCCATGTTCCAGTAGCATTCTCTCCTGATGTTTTGCTTGCATCTGGGGCAAGCATCCTCAGAAGTTTGTTCAGGAATTGCCTTCAAAGCTAAGGACAGTGTATCTTCTCAGAATGAATACCTGGAGGAAGTAATGGGGGAAAAACAGCTGAGGTCGAATCAGACAAGACTCATGTACTTACTGTCAAGGGTTCTAACCTGGATTTAGAGGTATGCCAGCCATTCCTGGATGGGGTTATACTGCCTCTGAAAGATTTTGTTTGTAGTCTGTGGGGTGCTTCTGTATCCACCAACGCAAATTTCAGCTCAGATAGATGGATGGCCAGGAGTGTCTTTTATCAGCTTTGGCTGTTATGTCAGCTGTGCCTCTTTCTAGAACTGGAGCATCTAAAACACATGCATTAATAATAGAAAGACTGGACTTTTCCAATGTGAGTTATATTGGGTTGTTCACTGTATCAAGTCTGTATCAAGACCCAAGTAAAAACATACTAAGTTGGATGCAGAAGATAAAAGAGTTTGGATCAGTTGCAGGATTTAAGGTCAATATGTCAAAAACAAAGATACTGACGAAAAATGTAGAAAAGAAAAAAACAAGATATGATTAAAGAGCAAACAGGTCTGGAAATAGTTAAGAAATTTAAATATTTAGGAGTATGGATCACGACAAAAAATGGACAACTACTAAAGAATAACTATGAAGAAGTCTGGAAAAAAATACAAAAGGACTTACAAAAGTGGACATATCTGAAGATGTCACTTTTAGGCCGTATATCTCTGATTAAGATGGTCTTACTGAAATTGATGTTCCTTTTTCAAAACCTCCCGATAATTAGAAGTCAAGTACTCTTCACAAAATGGAAAAAAAGAAATACTGAAATTTATATGGGCTGGAGGAAGACCAAGAATAAAGTATGATAATTTGATTGATTAGAAGAATAGAGGAGGCTTGGGCCTCCCGGACTTTAAAGCATATCATGACGCATGTGCGTTGATATGGATAAAAGATTGGATATTGTTGAATAAAGAAGACTTTTTGAATATAGAAGGAAATGATCTAAGAGTAGGGTGGCATGCTTATTTATGGTATGAAAGGGAAAAGAAAGAAAAGAGTTTTGGTAATCATTTTGTGAGAGCATCCCTATTAAGAGTATGGCAAAAATATAAAAGATACTTTTATTCTAAAACACCTTTATGGGTCTCTCCCATGGAAGCAAACCAGCGAAGACTTTTAGGATGGAGAAAATGGCCAACCTACAAAGATTTGTTAAACAAAGTTATGAACAATATTAAGTCTTATGAGGAATTAAAACAAAAAAATATATTACTTGGTTACATTATATGCAAATTAAAGAATATTATAATCAAGATAAAAAAAATTGGATTTTCCTGGGAGGAAACAGCGTGGGATAAAATTTTAAAATTGGAAAAGAAAGTAATATCAAATATTTATAATATATTACTTACCTGACTGACTGAAAAAGAACAGGTTAAAAACCACTGTATCAAGTCTGGAGGCATCAAATATTTGAAAACATGGCAGCCAGACTGATTACTGTCATATTTAGAAACCATCAAATCACACTAATATTAAAGCCACTTTACTGTCTTCCAATTGGTTTATGGGCAAAGTTCAAAGTTTTAAAATGGTTTGGGTACAGTTTACCTATGGGATCACTTTCTCCCATATAATACACTTTGTACATTCAGGACCTTTGGCAATGGTGACTCTGAGGACCTTTTCTTCAGCCCCCAGTTCCTCACTTCTCTCCCCCCCCCCTCCCGATTGTGGAATGGCCTGGATATGCTTTCTGAATCTAAAACAACATTCAGAAACTCTTTTTGAGCAGGCCTTCCCAAATTATTTTAAATTACTAATCTTAAAATATGAATTTTAAATTAAGGCCTGGTTAGGGTCTTGATTATATATATTCTTTTGTATTTTAATATGTTGTATTTTAATATGTTGTTTTTCCCTGCCTTGATCTGTAAAAAGCAAATAATAATCATCATCATAATTTATCTGGATGCACCAGAAACACTTAAAAAGCCAAAGTATCCTGCGCAAACAAAAAAAAAAGGAGGAGGCAGTAATTTTTCAAAACACAGTTGTGCTAAGAGAGCAGCAAGCCAGTTTTTGAGGCACAATTCGCATCCTGAGTTCATGACCGCAAAGAGAGTGACACCTGGACCTACCAGTTTTCTGGTATTCCTTCCCTATTCATAATATGAATTGGTGTGTGGGTGGAAGATACTAGCTCTTTTTTCATGTATATAAAGATGTTGTGGGAAAGAATCTGCATGTACTAGGAATGAGATTACTCTTCTTGCATTTGATAGGACTGACAGTCATAGTTATACAAAAGACAGGAGCCTATTAATATGTGGTCCTGCATGAGAATGAACAGTCGTGGTGTAAATCTGGTTAATTTTTTGGACTGATTTTTATATCCTCTTGCTGTGTGCCCATTGATAACACATTGTAACATACCACTGTTGACATAATCTGGCTCATCTTTATTGAAGGAGAGCTCAAAATACAGAGACTTTGTTTGGAGAAGCTGGGAGAAGCACCTTATCCTTTGTATATTTATTGCAGGTAAATCCCAATGCAAACTTAAAGGATTGCAGCATTGGATTCTTTAAAATGCAAAGCTAAGAAGCAAAGAAATGGTTGAAATGACTGAACCGCACAGGACTTAAATGCAGTCAACTCGCTGGCAAGACAGGAAATATTAAACTGAGTGGAGTTTAAGTATTCCAAAATACTACACCATTAATAGGATAAATAGTGATGAAACCAAGTACATAAAAATCACCGCATGTGGTTATGATGCTTCATCTTGAATCTGGAAAATAGCTGCATAGTTTTATCAGAGGAATCCCCACTTAAATAACAGGAATGAAAAAAGCATTAAAAAAGTTATGTGGGCATACTATTCATGTCCTTCTAAGAACTAAGAAAGTGACCTTTAAACGTTTGGGTTTGTTTTGAAATTTAGCCATTCCTTTGTCTGAGTCAGTATTCTTTAAAAGGCCTGGTTTCGAACTGAAAATAAACATGTCCTCCAAATATAGATTAACTGAGGAAGGTGGAAGAGAGAATGTAAAATCAAACAAATAATATCTTCATGTTCTTGGTAGTCTGGAAACACAGTGCTTCATTGCGTTTTTATTCTTACCATATTTTTTACAAAATTTCTATTTAAGAGTAGAGCTAGAGATACTGTTACACATTATCACAATCCCAGTTTCATAAAGCTACATCAAATATACAGTATATAAATACTCAAATAAACATTTAATACAAATCAGCACACTTTACTTGCAATCCTGAAGGTTATCAATCATTCTGATCAGCTATTACTGAGGACATGAGCCACTTGGTTGTACAACTGCCCAATTATCTGAAGGAGCAATCTTCACAAATGATTTAGCCCCTCAGGCCAGCAATCAAGGCAGGGGACTCAAAAATTACAGTTCAGTTAAATCCGTTCAATCTCACCTCTCCTTAGTTTTAATTTTTCCTGCCATATCAGCCAGTTGACTATTTCCTTTCTTTCTCACACACTCTTTATGATATAAATTTAAGTTATATCTGCTCTCTAAAGAGGTTGTAAAAATGGTTGTAAAATTACTGAAGGAGGAGAGAAAAATGCAGGAGTATGAGGGTGATAGTGTTTCGGGTCGGGAGGAAAAATGAAAGGAAGCAAAAATAAATTTAAAAGTTTTCCCCATGATCACAGACACAGTGGTCAAAAAAGGCAAGAGGAATGTTGACAATTTAGGAAAATGTGAGCTGGCCACCAGAAAGAAAGTGAGAAAAGGCACTTTAGCTTTTTATATGGGCACGTGATAACAATTTGGAAATACATGCTCTTAGTCTGTTCCAGGGACAGGTGAGACCCAAGAAAACAGATAAAATAAAGAAAACAATTCATTGGAAAAGAATAAAGAGAAAACAAAGTCAAAAGACTTTCCAGGGAAGTTGGGAAAGCAGTGAAGGGATGCAAGGAGCAAATTAGCCCAACCCAAGTGCCATCTTCTGAAAAACATTGGAAAGTGGGGCACAACACAATAACATGCATAAATCCTTGAATGAGAGAATATAGTTTTTAGTTTTTAATATTGTTATTATGCACTGTCTTATGTCTAATTGCACTATAATGGTTCTTTTTGCTTATCAATGTATGTATTTTTATGGCATCGAATTGTGTATGCTGCTTTGAGTCACCTTCGGGCTGATATGAGCGGGGTAGAAATAATGCAAATAAATAAATAATTATAAGACATTACAAAATAGACAAGTTTAGGTGTGATCAGGCAGCTTTTTGTAGATCTGTTCTACAAGCAGAAGTGCAAGAAGGTAGGAGCCATTCTCACTTTTGAGATAGAGCCATGGCATATTCTATTAGAATGATCATCACAGTAAGTGTCAACTTCCCATTTTATTTTTTCTGATTTTTTTAGAGGCCGTGATGGAGGGACAAGAGGTACCTTTTGAAGAACTGCTGGAAAAAGCAAAAGCTGGGGAAATTCAGGCACAGACAGAGGTAATTTTCATGTTTTAGTCATACTCTCTTATGATGGAGGCCCCAGCCCAGTTTACCTGTCCGAATGCACCTCCCTTTCTGAACCACCGCGAAGACTAAGATCTTCTGGGGAGACCCTTTTCTGAGTCCTGCCACCGTCATAGGTGCGTTTGGCAGGGACAAGAGACAGGGCTTTCTAAGTGATTGCCCCCTGGCTATGGAACTCCCTTCCTGGCAAGATTAGATCAGCCCCTTCCCTTCTGTCCTTCAGAAAGATGGTAAAGACCTGGCTGTGGGACCAAGCCTTTGGGGAATGAGGCAGTAATAAGGAACCCACTCCGTTAACCGGAGCCATCACAGTGTCTTAAGATGGTTTTAAACAGCTGATTTTAAAGTAGATATGACTGATTTAAATGTTTGTGTATATTTATAGTTATTTTATGTCGTGTCATGGAATGTTTGCCGTTTGTATGTTGCACTCCGCCCTGAGTCCCCTTTGGGTGAGAAGGGCAAAATATAAATGTCTCAAATAAAATAAATAAATAAATAAATAAATAAATAAGGCATCCTTATCAGAAATGTAGATAGTACAAAATTGGGAGTGGTAACTAACACATTGGAAAATGGGAACAGAATTCAAAAGGAACTTGATAAACTAATAAAATAAAACTCAACAAAGAAAAATGCAAAATTCTACCTTGAGAATTGTACCAAATGTACACTTATAAGATGGTGAATGACTTCGCAGTAGTACACAGCATATGTAAAGGACCTTGGTATTATTGTTGATTGTAAATTAAAACATGATTCAGTAGTGTGATGCTGCTGCAAAGTTTCCAGATTGAGGGAGACTGTAGTTTCATTATATTCTGCACTAGTCAGGCCTAATTTGCAATACTGTATTGAGTTCTGGCACTTCATTTTAAGAAGGATGTAGACATGTTGTAGCAGGTTCAGAGAAAGGCAACAAGGATGATAAGATGTACAGTTTGGGCAAAGACTGAAAGAGCTGGGCATGTTTTTCCTAGTAAAGAAAACATTCAAAGGCGACATGGCTGCATTCTTTAAATATCGCAAAAAAGAGGGTTTGTTCTTAGCTGATTCAGAGAGTAGGAGGGTTTGAAGTTACAGGAAAGTAGACTTTGATTGAACATGAGAAAAACTATTGACAGTGAAAGAAATTTGGCAATGGAACCAATTGCCCAGAGAGGTGCTCCTTTTCTGGACGTCTTCACAAAAAGAAGATGGAAGGTTAGTACAATATAGTAGGAGCCCCCGGTGGTGCAGTGGGTTAAACCCCTGTGCTGGCAGGACTGAACACTGACAGGTTGCAGGTTCAGATCCAGGAAGAGGCGGATGAGCTCCCTCTGTCAGCTCCAGCTCCTCATGCGGGGACATGAGAGAAGCCTCCCACAAGGATGATAAAACATCAAATCATCTGGGCATCCCCTGGGCAACGTCCTTGCAGACGGCCAATTATCTCGCACCAGAAGTGACTTGCAGTTTCTCAGGTTGCGCCTGACACGGCAAAAAAGTACAATATAGTGATGTATAGCGCTGATATTGTACTGTGCTAATGGTATAATGTATCGTGTGCGTGTGTGTGTGTATATATATATATATATATATATCTTGTAAGCCACACCGAGTCCCCTTCAGGGTGAGAAGGGCAGCATATAAATGTTGCAAATAAATAAATAAATACTTCCTCGGTAGGCTCTAACTGAAGATTCTGCATTGAAGAAAGAGTTGAGTCTGGGATAATGTGAACTTCTTTAAGTTAAAAAAATCTGACTAGCTGTTAATTTATGTTACATAGACATTATCATATAGAATAAGTCTAACCTGTCTATAAGTAAAACACTTTTTTGTACAAAGGGACAAAATTACAAACTATCTAAAATAATTTTATTGCATTTTTGTAGGTGGGAAAATGCTACTTGAGATTAGCAGAAGACCAAGATGAGGAGCTTAACAGTTGTACTGGAGTTGAATGGTTGATGCTTGCTGCCAAGCAAGGGGAAACAGAAGCTGTTAATCAGTTGCAGAAATGTTTAGCAGAAAGAAAAGGTATAGGTCCTACCTGATCCAATATTGTTTTTGGCTATGTTTATTTTGAGAGACTTAGACTTCATTCCACTCAGTCTTCGCTCCCTTTCTCTGCAGTGCCAAGTGAGGCTCCCATAAGAAGGCATTCTGTGGCCAAGACACCACCAACTATCATTTCCACCTCAACCTAACATGCCTTAGCTAGTGGTGTTGTCAGTATTGCCCAGACAAAATAGAGACACATGACTGATAACAGCAGGAGAAGGAAAATAAGCAGCACCCACACTCCATTGCCACCTCAACTGCCCCACTGGTCCAAAGCCTGCAGGGTCCTTCTCCTATATACTGCATGTGTATGGTTTGCCAAGCAATGCTATCAGTGCCACTATGCAAGACTGAGGTGGCAGTGGCAGCTTTGGGGAGCATGCTCTGTTCCCCATTACAGGATCAGTTTCAGGATGAAGAGGAGGCAACAGTGAGACCTCAGCTATCTGTCACCACCTTCATGGAGATGCTTCCACTCATGTATATGGAGGAGGGAAAGACAAGGTGGAAGTGATGGTAGAGGAGAACATAGGGGCCCAACTTTGGTTCAGGGTCCAATGGTTTGGTCACCTTCCTGCAAAGAGGGGGCCCTGATGGGTCAGCTATTTTGCTGCCCTCTATGCCTCTGTTTCCCTTCCTGCCCTCACTAACTGGAGTGACTTACAGGGAGCGGTCAACCCCTCTGTTTAAGGAGCTCCATTGGCTGCCATTCATTTTCCGGTCCCAATTCAAGGTGCAGGTTCTTACCTACAAAGCCCTGAATGGTTTGGGACCCGCCTACCTGCGTGACCACATTTTTGTGTACGAACCCACGCGACGAGGGACGAGGGAGAGGGCCTTCTCTATGGTGGCCCCCCGACTCTGAAACTCACTTCCTAAGGATATCAGGCAAGCCCCCACATTGGCAGTCTTTAGGAGGAGCCTGAAAATGTGGCTGTTCCAGTGTGCCTTCCCTGAATAAGAAAATAATCCCCCGCAACATGTCCTCAGAAGCACTTTAACTACTCGTTGGGTTGCTCTCCCTTCATTTCTTTTAAAACCCTCCTATCAGATACATCCTTCCTCTGTTCACGCCCAGCGTTTATTTTTAATATTTTAAATTATTACATTTGGCCCGGCCATAGGTTTTTAAATCCTTGTGTATTACTGTTTACATGTGAGTTATATTAGTTGTATTGTTTTTGCTTATTGTTTTTTGGTTTATTGATGTGTTGTTGGACTTGGCCTCATGTAAGCTGCTACGAGTCCCCTCGGGGAGATGATGGCGGGGTATAAATAAAGTTTTATTATTACTTGCCTTCCCATTCTGATGCCACTCCGTATTGCTTTATGGCATTTTTAATAGAGACTTTTAAGCCTTGCCACACATTTATAACCTCTCAATTCACAAGGTTTATAGTTCCTATTAAAAAGCATAGGAAAGCAGCAGAAGTGACAACAAATCTGCCAATGTGAAGGACCGACTGTATTTTTATCCATATATTATGTCAAGCTGGAGGGAATGGTGCAATGCCCACAACAGGATGTAAAGAGGGTAACAGGGTAAAAAGTTTGAGAACCACTGTGCTGCCCAAAAGGTTGGACAATAATAGTTTATGCTTTCCCCCCCTTTTCTTGAGGCATCACTTTGGAGAATGAGGAGGAAGTGAAGAGAATATCATCAGAGACTGACTTGGAAAGAGCTGTAAGGAAAGCTGCCTTAGTCATGTATTGGAAATTAAATCCAAAAAAGAAAAAACAACTCGCTGTTTCGGAGCTATTAGAAAATGTTGGCCATGTTGATGACGAAGGTTTGTATCTCATATAAATATAAAAATCTGCTGTATGCAAAGAATTCTGTAAAAATTATAATACCACAATTAACAAGTAAAGAAAAACCATGTGTTGCTAACTTGCTGAAGAAGAAAAAACTGTTGCAGTAATAGTCATAAGCAATATTTTATTAACATATAGAAATATGAAATAACATCTGTGTATCCCCATGCATGCTTTTGGATGAAATGTCTGGGAATGGTAATATTTATTAGTCTGGTCATAAAGGACAAAATTATGTAAAGTAACATAAGTGGTCTATCTAGCCATAGCAGATTTTATTCCCATTGATATCTTTTGCCAAGTTAGAATTTTTTTAAAAAAGATCAATTCTCAATAAAGATCTATGATTGTCTGAAAAAGTGTACTTTTTAGGATTGTCATATTTATTTATCCACAAATTTACCAACCACTAATTGTCAAATAATTTTTTCCCTCACTCTTCTTCACTTCACTTACCAGTTCAACTCTTTCTTATACTTTCATATAAATTCCACTGTAGGGAAAAAGATTTTGGTAGTTTACCATGTTTAATCTAAATTATTTCTCAGAAACCCTACCCATCTGAAAATTTCAGAGCCTGGCCAGACATATAATTGCCAGCTTTTATTTATTTCCATGTCAAAAGCATTGCATAAATAAGTATAAAACTGATAAAATAGAGGGAGTATAAGTGGCTAATATTTATTTATTTATTTATATCATTTTTACCCCGCCCATATAAGCCCAAAGTCGACTCAGGGCAGTGAATAATTGCCAACTAATTGACACACATTAATATTTCCCAACTCAGCCCTAAGCAAGCCATCATGGTATGCCGTATTGATGAGTTGTTTGTCCTTTCATCAGAATTTTTTCACTTGAACTAACAAGCACATGTTTATACAGACATCGAGAAGCCGCCTGGCCCAATTCCAAAGTGTGTTCAGAAGCAACGAAGAATGCTGGAGCGACTGGTGAGCAGTGAATGTAAGGAAACCATTTTTGTTGTATATTGATGCTTCCATATGTCATGGTCTTTTATTAGTTGTTACTTTAAACTGTTAACTCTTTTTAGGATTAGGATAAAAGATTCTCCAAGAAGATTAATCTGAGGAACAATGTGGATTTGCTGCCACTGTGCCATGAATTTCAATATACCTGCCTCCCAACTACAGCAGTTTCATGTAGTTTGGAGGATGGGGGTGGATCTACCTCTGGCTTGAAGTCTATTTTATGCCACTCTCACCATCATCCAGTTTCACTGCTGGTATTTGAAGAAAGGAAAGGAGTGGCACATGGCTAAAATGATGTGTCATCTCTAATACTGTGAACTCCATTCACTTTAGGGTCATGCTCCATCCATTTCTGAACATACATCCACCTACAATTAATTGCAACTTTCAACTGACTTTTCTTGAAGGCCAGCATATGACAGATAGATGGGATGTCATGTAATCCTTCCCACAATGATTGCTACTCATCTCCATTTTTCCAGGGTGCAATTACTTTTATTTTTTGGAAGTGTGTTTGTGCAAATACAGTCAGCATTATTTTTTAAAGTTGTATTTGTGTGGATAATTGCATGTTGATATTAGGGTACCCCATCTGTCAGCATTTGCTTAGTAGGACGTCCAATGCCCTATCAAGGCATACATATAAAGTATGAGCATGAATATATTTGCATAATGGAGGTGTCGGAACCCAGATGCCTTAAAGAGCCAGGCACAGGAGTATGTCCAAAACAATAGTTTATTAAAGCAAAGTAAACAGGACTTCTTGCTTCAGTGCCTCTGGTCAAAACTCAAAGATTATAGCAATTTCTAGCTTGTAAAACAAACTCAGAAAATAATCCGATTAAACTGGCAAAAAACCCGGATTAAACAAGAGTTCTTCCAAAGCGCACCAAAATCACACAGTTCAAGGAAAACAAACAAACAAAGAGCCATGAAGAGAAGTCGTTATCCAGTTGCAGTCCAAAGTCGAAGAAATCCCATTTGAAGGTTCCCAAGTCCACAAGGCGGCATAGTCGTCAAAAGCAGTCCGAAGTCAAGGAGAGGGGAAATCCGCACTTAGGAGAATCCAAGCTGGTCGGTACATGAAGCAAACAGCAACCTGCAGATCCAGGACCCAAGCCCAACAGGAAAGCGGCAGCGACAAGACCCAAGGCACGAAACCAACACTTTGCCCATTGCAAAGTTCTATCATTCCAGTGCCTACATTTATCTTACAGCTCATCATCCGATGATGAGCTGCCCTCCACCCTATCCTCATCACTCACAGCTGGCTTAGCTTCTACAGCTGAACGCCAACGGCCATCCCTCCAACTCTTCCACCTCTTGTCAAGACTTAGGTCTCCCCATGATTCCACAGTATCACCAGATTGCCAATCCCCGCCACCAGAAAACCCCGCAAAAGTGTCACTGGACATTGGTTGAGTACACATTCTGAACCTCCTGTACCTTGGTCCAATCCATGGCTCCTCTTCATCCCCATCACTCCCAGACCCATCATTCCCAGAAAAACCCATGAAATCCTCTTCCTCTGTGGGAGCAGTAAGTATGTCCCGGATCTTCTTTCTCTGACGCTCCTCGTCTGATTCCTGCTCTCGAGGAAGCCTCTTAGTTCCTCTATTCCCATCTGTACCTCCTTCCTCCTCCTCACTCATTTCACTCTCGGAGAAACCCTCAAAGAACTCTTCATCAGTGGGTGCCATAAGTATCTCCTGGATCCTCTTCCTTTGCTGTTCCTCGTCTAACACCTGGGCGCCTCGTTTTCCTCCTCTACCACTCCTACTACCAGTTGCAGCGTTGCCAACAGATTCTACTACAACAGGAAGGGAAAATGGAGTGGCTGGAAATAATGTGAAATATAGCACCCATAGCACTATGGGTGCTATATTTTTGTTCCTGGGTTATAAACGTCATTTCCTAATTGTTTCTACCATAAAAAATGAAAAAAGTTTATTAAGCTGCAAAATGTTTGTTTTTGTGGGACATCCTGCAGCATATTTTGCTATAGTTTTTCAGTGAATATCTCAATGGGTCTCAATAAATTCAACAGTTTGTTGTAGCCACAAAAACGAAGTTTCTGGAGTATAACAACTACTTTCAAAGTAAGTACCGCACAATTCAACAGGAAATAACACTTTCAAACCAGGAACTGAAATGTTTTCAAAATTATGTGACATAGTGTATGTTATGTTACATGTACCGCAGGAATATCCTTTAATACTAAAGTGAGCACACATGGGGGAAATTTGTGGCTGGCAATGTTGCTTTCACTTTGATATAACAGGTGTTGCTACCGCAGTCACTATGAACCAGAAAAATGCAAAATGAAGCAGAATTTTTCACTGTGTAGTAGATGCAAACTTAGTTAATATGTATAATTGAAATAATAATAATAATAATAATAATAATAATAATAATAATTATTATTATTATTATTATTATTATATTTCTTAGCCACCTCTCCTCATTGCTTGAGGTGTGTTACAAAACAATTAAAATATATAAACACAGCAAATACACTACAAATACACACACTAAAATGTACCTCCATAAAAGTTACATACCAAAATATAACTCTATGAAATACATATTGAAACACAGATTAAACAAAGGATATGCATTAAAATTCATGTTTATGATTAAAGTCTGTCAGGGTAGGCCTGCTGGAAGGGACAGGTCTTCATTTGTGTCTTAAATTCTGACAACTGATTTAGCTGCTGGAGCTCTATTGGTAGATCATTCCACAGCCTTGCGGCGGCCGATGTAAACTGTTAAAGGGGGGTTTCTCTCTCTCACTCTGATTGCCTAACACATTGGTAGAGTGCTAAAAAAATCTTTCTCTCTCATAACAATTATATTCTGTATTTAATATGTTAATCTGTACTGCATTTATAACTTCCAGCTAAGAAATTCATTGCCTTGGATGATTTTGTTGAAATTACCAAAAAGTATGCAAAGGGCATCATCCCAAGTAACTTCTTTGTACAAGATGACGACGATGACGAATTGGCAGGAAAGACTCCAGAGGAGCTCCCACTTCGACACCGGGTAAAAACGGGACATTTTCAAAATGCCTACTGAATTGTTATCCGCCCAAATTATGTCTGAAAATCCATTTTGCAGCATTGTTGCAAGCAGTTTCTCAGCTCAAGGAACTTGTTACAATCAGAGATCTTTGAAACAACAACAGCACAAAAAACCCCTGAAAAGTCCAGCAAATCTTTTGCGTTTTGCTACTGCGATACATTTTGCCCCTACTAAAATAGCACCTTAGAATAAAATGTGTGTGTGTGTGTGAGAGAGAGAGAGAGAGAGAGAGAGAGAGAGAGAGTAAGGGAGGGAGGGAGGGAGAATCCTGATGTAGTGAAGCAAAAGTAATGGAACTTGGGAATTGAGAATTTGGATTGTGGTTAAGGTTTATTTTTGTACACCTTTTAAAAATTTCCTGACCTCAATAAAATCTTAATGATAACCCAAATGCTTGATACTAGATTTTCCCACCAAATTGAGTAAAAAGTACTCATTCTGTGCAAGGTTGTTTTCTAAAAGTCTGATATGTCAGGGTTGTTTTTGTTTCCATTGGACTTTTGAGATGGGGAAGACTGGAATGACGAGAAGTAGAAAAAAATTACACTTAAAAAATTAAGTAAAATTCCAGTCTGTGTGTGCATTATGAATGACGATTCTTGACAAAAAGAGAAAAAAGCATCTGCAACCAAACTGGCATGTAGCATTTTGTATAATTGATGTAAACAACAAAAAGATACAAGCTATTTCACAAAAAATAATTTTTTTAGCAGTAATGAATTAGGTGGGCAATCTAAATTGGGATCTACAATGCCATATAATCCAGTTCAATTTAGTTAATCTGCATTCTGAAACTGGATTATATGGAAATGTCAAGGTGAGATATGTTTTCTGGTCTCAGGCAGCCCATCTTCCCACTGGGAAGAGGACAAATAGTGATCAAGAACAATTTTGTGACTTGGTGCAATGATTATTACTGTTTTTGAGCATCCATCCTTTCCAGCTTTAAACTCCTTTTCCACAAAGGAGTCCATTGTTTGAACACTTTCTTGGCCCTCCATTTTCTTTTTCATAAGGTGGTTTATGTGTCTTCTACTGATAAGCATAGCAGCAAGTGGCTTAAGAACCCTTGTGCATATAGGGTTGCTATTTGGTTCTTTTCTCTTCTTTTTAAGGTACTTTGTCAACTGCGTTTGCTATTAGAATAAACGATGGGATATAATGGTAGCCAGTACCTTCAGTTTATCACCATAATTGGCCTGTGAATTATTTTAAAAACAAGCAAACAGAAAAAGGTTTGTTTGGTTTGATTAGCTTGTCCTGCCTATCTAGGGACCCTTCCACACAGCCATATAACCCAGAATATCAAGGCAGTAAATCCCACAATATCTGCTTTGAACTGGGTTACCTGAGTCCACACTGCCATATATTCTAGTTCAAAGCAGAAGATGTGGGATTTTCTTCAGCTGTGTGGAAGGTGCCTAAGGGCAGATCTAGACAGCCCCTTTAATGAGGAAATTTCCGCAATAAAAAGGGGGTTGTCCAGACGATGTTCCAGACAAACCAGAATTAATTTGCCACAAACCAGGAAAACCCTGGTTTGTGGTGAATTAATTTGATAACTGGTTTATTCCGTGCTTTCTTTGAAGACGTGGAATAAACCCATTGCTTCCGGTGTCTGGATTGCAGTCCAGACAGTATTCCCACAGTTTTACAGCCTAAATTAGCTCGGACAACTGTGGGAATACCAACACCCTCCCCAGAAGCCCCCAAAACACGTAAAAAAAAGAGAAAATAACTCACCTGGGCTAGTGGGCTTCATCAGACGGCTTGCCAGGAGATCTCTGGCAGCCATCTGGTGGAGCCCGAGTGAGTTCTTTTCTTTTTTTACAGTGTCCTGGTGTTCTACTGGACACCCATCCCAGAAAGTGTGTGCTTTCTGGGGTGAGTGTAGATGGGCCAGTGTGTGCTTTCTGGGGTGAGTGTAGATCGGTGTTTTTTAAATACGGATTCTCCTGGGATAAAGGCCTGTCTGGAACCGCCCTCAGAGACATATGGTGATGTGTGGTGCTGCAAAAGCATTGAATTAACTACATTTTTTATTTTTAGGTTATAAAATATCCACTCCATGCTATTATGGAGGTCAAAGAGCACCTAATAGATGCTGCATCTAAAGCAGGAATGCACTGGCTATCCACCATTGTTCCAACACATCACATCAACGCACTCATATTCTTCTTCATCATCAGCAACCTGACAATCGACTTCTTTGCCTTTTTTATCCCATTAGTGATCTTCTATCTCTCCTTCATTTCCATGGTGATTTGCACCCTCAAAATATTCCAAGATAGTAAAGCGTGGGAAAACTTCCGTACCCTCACCGACCTACTCCTCCGCTTCGAACCTGATCTGGACATCAAAGAAGCAGAAGTGAATTTTGGTTGGAACCATTTAGAGCCATACCTTCACTTCCTGATCTCTGTATTCTTTGTCATTTTTTCCTTCCCTATAACTTGCAAGCACTGGATACCATGCTCAGAATTGGCTACGGTCTCTGTTTTCTTTATGGTGACTAGTTATTTGAGTTTGGGCACAACTGCTGAACCATACACGCGAAGAGCTTTGTTGACAGAGGCTGCTGCAGGTTTCTTCTCCCTGTTGAAGGTTGTTCCTTTTAATCTAGGACAGCTGGATCTGTTATGGAAAACATTTTATAGTCTCCCGATTGGCCACTTCTTTGTGCTGAACCTGAGCGTCCCTTGCCTTTTGTTTTTGTATTTGTTCTATCTTTTCTTTAGGATGGCACAACTGCAGAATTTTAAAGGTACATACTGCTACCTGGTGCCTTACTTAGTATGTTTCATGTGGTGCGAACTCTCTGTGGTTATTTTACAAGAATCATCTGGCATTGGCCTAATTCGTGCCTCAGTTGGTTACTTCTTGTTCCTGTTTGCCCTTCCCGTTCTAATAGTAGGTATTACAGTCATCTGTCTCATTCACTTCGTAAAATGGTTCATAATGCAAGACCTCCTGAAGATTGTGGTCACTCTTATGCTAGTTGCTATTCCTTTGCTTTTCCATTGGTGGACAAGGGCCAGGGTTTCTGTCGTTGAACTTGTGAAATCCCTAACCAAGAGTTCAATAGTTAAACTTATTCTGGTATGGTTGACGGCCATAATGCTGTTCTGTTGGTTTTATGTGTACCGCTCAGAGGGGATGAAAGTGTACAACTCCACCTTGACATGGAATCAGTATGGGTTTGTGTGTGGGCCTCGAGCTTGGAAATCTACTAATATGGCACGCACTCAGATTTTATGTAGTCATCTGGAGGGCCATAGAGTGACATGGACTGGAAGGTTCAAATACGTGAGAGTAACTGACATTGATAATAGTGCCGAATCAGCGATAAACATGCTTCCATTGTTTATTGGTGATTGGCTGAGGTGTTTGTATGGTGAAACCTATCCACCATGTGACCCCAAAAACATTACCTTAGAAGAGGAGGAACTCTGCCAACTAAAGTATCTGACGAAATATGACTGCCACATGAAAAGGTTCGACCGCTATAAATTTGAAATAACAGTCGGTATGCCTTATAATGGTGTGAATGGAAGTAAGCCTGTAGAGGAGGAGGATGTAAAGAAAGACATAGTGTTGAAAGCCAGCAATGAGTTTAAGAAAGTCTTGCTGAACCTGAGACAAGGAAGCCTGATTGAATTTAGTACAATTCTGGAAGGCCGCCTTGGCAGCAAATGGCCTGTATTTGAACTGAAAGCCATCTCATGCTTAAATTGCATGTCTAAACTTTCCCCTGCAGGGAGACATGTGAAAGTAGAGCATGACTGGCGAAGCACGGTTCAAACTGCTCTCAGGTTTGTGTTTAATTTTTTCTTTTCCCCTTTTTTGTCAGTTGCCTCCTGAGCTTGACTTGAACTTGCACTATTATAACCAAAGATATGGCTGAAACACAACCGCACAGCAGTGTTTCAAAAGAACGTCTCTCGTTCTGAATATTGCACCTGGGGCACACGCACTCTTAGTAATTCTGCTGCAAAAATATGTTTTAAAAGTAGACCTCGTATGCATATTACAGGCACAGAGTTAAATGAAAGTTAATGAAACACTACTCCAAATAATTCACCCTTGTGCTCTTATAATCCTACACTAATATGCATAATGTAAAGCTGACCTTGTGTGTGACAATTTGTTAATACCAGTTTCCCATCGTGATCAACTGTGAATCGCACATATGGTAATTCCTGCGCAGGAATTACCATATGTGCGAATTCACAGGTAACCACTCGGGAAACTATGGTTACAGGTAAGCAACCTATATTTAGCAGTGATACACAGAATTTGAGGCTGGAACTTCTGGCAAGTTGGACAGCACGTCTAAGAAAGACAGGCTTTAATTCAGCCACTCTTGTAATTATGTTTGGAAATATTCAGTTTGATTCAATTGTGATAATTTTTGTTAGGACAGAAACTGGTTCTACTCAAAAATAAGAATGTCTGGTCTGTAGGAGTTCACTTTGGAAGTCAATGTCTGCTGCATGATCTGTATGAATACAAACATACAAATTAAACAAGGATTCAAAACCTGTGGCATAAACCTTAGTGGTCTTATTTGAATATACTCTCATCACATGTGCATATACTGTTCAAGCTTCCTCGCATTTTATACCATTTGACAGTAAGGACATAGTGACATGTACCCATTTTAGTGGTAATTATTACAACTCAATCAACAAATTGTGCAAAGTACGAAAGTTATAACAGTACCTATACTTAGAAAGCATCAGCACTCCACTTCATTAGTGATTAATTCTCTCTTAAGTTTGAAATGGAGGCTGGTGCTTTGATAATGTGTTCCTTCTTAGTTTAAGGAGATTGAACTAGATGCGCTTTGGGGGACTCTATAAACCTTCACTCTCCACCTCAGGGAGCAGGCCAATGCGGAGAGCTGAGGAGGACGATGAGAAGGACGGGACCTTGGTGCTGCCTCAACAACTGCTATTGCCACTGTTGTTCCTGTTGGGACTTCTCTTTTTCCTCCTCCTTCAGGGTTTGCAAACACGGGGACAAGATGACTACTGTTGTTTTCAGTGACACGTCTTCTTCTTCCTCCAAGAACAGCGAACATGGGGTTGCTGTTGCTTATGCCGGTGGGCAGGAATGTGTGTTTGTGGAAGGGGCATTTTTAGCAACACACTGGTTGGCTACAGGCAACTTGCCAGTGTGTTGTGACACACAGTTTGGAAAACTCTGCTTTAATTGATTATTTATCGTGTCAGGGGCAACCAGACAATTGCATTACATTTCTAACAGAACAAAACAAACAAACAGACACAAAACAAAATTTGCAAGCTTGGTAGTTGATTAAATGTCTTTTGAACAGTATATGGCCACTTGGAGTGCCTCTGGTGTTGCCGCAAAAAGGTCCTCCATTGTGCATGTGGCAGGGCTCAGGTTGCATTGAAGCAGGTGGTCTGTAGTTTGCTCTTCTCCACACTCGCATGTCGTGGATTCCACTTTGTAGCCTTTGGGCGACAAAATGGCTTTAATGGATGAAACCTTAACTTTGAACCACAACTTTACTCAACCAATAAAATTCTCCTTTGTCACCAATCCTTTTTATGTAAATTTGATAGCAATATTTGATATATGGTGCATTTATAAAATCTGGGAGACATGGTAGCACATTGTAACTATCTTTGTAGCATTTGTTACCTTGTACTTGCAGCATTTTTAAAGATTAGTCTGAAATTTGGTAAAATGGATCATCTCAAGTAGACTATCACTGCAGCGTGTGTTTTAGAGCTCATAACACTGCTCCTTTACTTCCCTAATTTTGTTTTTGTTGTTGTTGTTTATTCGTTCAGTCACTTCTGACCCTTTGTGACCTCATGGACCAGTCCATGCTAGAGCTCCCTGTCGGCCTTCACCACCCCCAGCTCCCTCAAGGTCAATCCAGTCACTTCAAGGATACCATCCATCCATCTTGCCCATGGTCGGCCCCTCTTCCTTTTTCCTTCCATGTTCTCCAGCATCATTGTCTTCTCTAAGCTTTCCTGACTTCTCATGATGTGGCCAAAGTACTTCATCTTTGCCTCTAATATCCTTCCCTCCAATGAGCAGTCGGGCTTTATTTCCTGAAGTATGGACTGATTGGATCTTCTTGTAGTCTAAGGCACTCTCAGAATTTTCCTCCAACACCACAGCTCAAAAGCATCTATCTCAGCCTTCCTTATGGTCCAGCTCTCACATCCATAGGTTACTTAGGGGAATACCATTGCTTTCACTATGCGGATCTTCCTTGCCAGTGTGATGTCCCTACTCTTCACTATTTTATTGAGATTGGTCATTGCTCCCTAATTTTAGAAGCATTATAAAACATTACTTATATTATGGCAGAAACTTCCAAGGTGGAATAATATGTCTTAAATGAAGGGGCAGTGCTATGCTTTTTTATTCCTGCAATGGATGTGTGGAATAGAGGTTAGCTATAGTCATCCATTTTTATTTCTACAATTATTTTCTGCACAATGTTGGAAAATTTACTCCTATATTTTGCTTTAGGAATTTTTTAAAAATAAAGTTTTAAGAACTGAATTCAAGCTTTAAATCTCCAATTTGAAGGAATGGTTATACAAACTCAGAACTAAGCTGGCCAGGGCTTAGCACAGCAGGGTAAACTGTTGTGCTGCAGAAAAATCCTGCTGATTGAAAGGTCAGCAGTTTGATCCTGGGTCAGGGTTGAGCACTCGCCATTAGCCCCAGCTCACCTGCCTATCTAGCAAGTTGAAAGCAGAAATGCAAATAGATAAATATATACCACTTTTAGCAGGGAGGTAATAAAGGTGCCCTTAAGGACATTGATTGATTGAAGGAAAGCTCCTAAGCATGGAAGATGGCGCGATAGTATCCCCTGTGGCCAGAGTCGAGCACAGCCTCCAAGATGCCGGAAATAAGATGGGAACAACTGCGTTTACCGCTGTTTGTGTTTGTCTGTCCTTGTTAAGTGTATAATTCTGTATAATCGACATTGAATTTTTGCCATACGTGTGTATTCTGTAAGCTGCCCGGAGACCCTTTCGAGATGAGAAGGGTTATAATTACTGCAAATAAATAAATAAGCACAGTTAATTTTTTAAAAAGAAAGTTTTATTTAAAAAGCCGGTATCAACATATTTATAAATATGTTCAAGCAATTGTCAGCATAATTTTTAGCACAAAAATACAGCCACGAAGCCTTCTAAATAAACATATTTATCAAGTTTACCATTCTCTACCACTGAAAGCCCAGAACCAAAAGGGGGAAATAAATTGCTTTCTTGGATTCATGAGAAATACATTTCTTTTTTTTACATTCACAGAACCAGGAAATGGGATTGTAATGGTGGTACCAGAGGCCTAAATATATCACTCTCCCATTTTAGTTCCTCCTTTTTTTTTTAACTGTAGCTTTATCTGAATGAGGCCCATTCTGTATTTATGCAAACATTTATTTCCTAAATGTCTGGGGCTTGCACACTTTGCAGAGGAACTCTCTGTCTCTCTGTAATTTTTTTCAAAGTCTCCATATAAACCAGTTCCATATTCAAGAGTTAAATATAACTGATGAGAGATGGAAGTCATTTTCAAAATAAAATCAGTGTTACTGTCTGAAGTTACCACGAATCCCTCAGCACAGATCTGTCTTTGCAGCTGCAAATACTTGAATGCCTTCAGCATTTTTGAACTGCTTTGATTAATGAATTAAAATTTAAAATGTAATTTGGCTACACGGTATTTTGCATTCATAAGATTTTTGTACAAGAAGAACAGATTGCATTAGAATACAATATACATAAATACTACCCACCTTGAAGGGCATACCATAACTGGAAACATTCTTTCTTTCCACTTAAAATTATTATATGCATTTTCTACTTTGATGTAGATTATTGGAAGTGATGCACATGCGTTATGCTTCTACGCAAAAATATCCATTGTCAGTTAAGAAAAGGATGGGGCAGGTGTCATTAATTTCATATGGTGGCACAGCTTCCTATGTCACCCTACCTTGGAATAGTATTAGACTTTCCTTCCTATTTCTCAACTCCAAATCAAGCCTATGCATTTCTTTATGAGGAATGCCAAACTCACAAAAAGTCAACACGGGTTTCTCAAAACCAAGTCCATGGCAAATGAATTTTCTCTCTCTCTCTTCTTTTTTGATAAAGTTACAAGCTTGGTAGATGAAGGGAATGCTGTGGATGTAAAATATCTTGATTTCAGTAACGCCTTTGACAACATCCTCCTCGAGATTCCCACAAAGAAGTTAGTGAAATGTGGACCAGACATTGCTACTGTCTGGTGGATTGGGAATTGTTTCACTGGCTGAACACAAAAGGTGCTTACCAATGGAGAAGTGACCAATGGGATGCCACAGGTTTCTGGACCCTGTGCTATTCAACATATTTCACTTGGATGATAGAATATGAGACATCCTTATCGAATGTGCAGATGACACCAAATTGGGAAGGATAGCTATACCCCAGAGGACAGGATCAGAATCCAAAATAACCTTAACAGATTAGAGAACTGGGTCAAAATTTGTTTCAATAGGGAGAAATGTATGGTACTTCGTTTAGACAATACAAATGAAATGCACAGATATAGAATGGGTGACTACATGTGAAAGGACACTAGAAGTCTGAGTAGACATGCTGAATGTGTGTCAAAAGTGTGATGCAGCAGCTTAAAAATCCAATGTGATTCTAGGTGTCATCAATAAGAGAATAATGCCTAGATTGAGGGAAGTAATACTCACTCTAGTTCTGCTTGGAACACTCTTTCCAGTTCAAAACAATTCAAGGATATTGGCAAGCTGGAGGGTGTCCAAAGAAGGGTGGCCAAAGGTCTGGAAGCCAAGCTCCACAAGAGAAGAGTGGCCAAAGGTCTGGAAGCCAAGCTCCACAAGGAATTACTTCGGGACCTGGGTATGTTTAACTTGGAGAAAAGAAGGCTGAGAAGGGATATGATACCCATCTTAAAATATTTGAAAGTATGTCAAATTGAGGAGAAGGCAAGCTTGTTTTCAGCTCTAGAGACTAGGATGTGGAGCAATGAATTCAAATGGCAGGAAAAGAGATTATCCCTAAACCATAAGAAGAACTTCCTGGTGTTAAGAGCTGTTTATCAGTGGAACATGCTGCCACAGAGTGTGGTGGAGGCTCCTACTTGGGAGGTTTTAAAGCAGCAGCTGAAGGCCATCTGTTGGGAATGCTTTGATTGTGCTTTTTCTGCATGGCAGGGGTTGGACTGGATGGCCCTTGTGATCTCTTCAAATTCTATAATTCTAGGATTCTACAACTTTTCTTTTCCCTGAAAGATCAGTTGAAAGTAATCCAAAATTAATGGCTGAGAAGCCAATGAAGAAGCATGTGGTGGCAACTCAAGAGTGGTGGTAACTCAGCAGCAGGCTTTAGTCCAAATTTTAAAGCTGCTTTCCAAGTTGCTGAACCTTATCCCTGAAACAAATCCAATTCCTCAGCCACTCCTTTAAAGTCTGGACTAAAAGGGAGTGGATAGGAGCTACATGCAAACAGAGTCCACGAAAATCCAATTCAACCAACCATGGTCTTATGGCCAAGGGCAAGAAATAAATTTGGAGATCATTGACATACACATTACTCCAGCCTCCCATGTTTCACTTCCTATGCTCATTTCAAGGGTAACATAGCCCATGTTAGTGTTTGAGTCCCTGTTAAATAAATAAATAAATAAATAAATAAATAAGCAAACTGTTTTGAGAAATGCGCAATCTTCACACATGCTGTTGTTTTCAAATTGCATGATGCAGTAACCATACTATACAGAGGAGTGGTTTAATATCCCAAAATACTTAAATTACTTGTACTGTGGCAGTTTTGATGGCTAGGTGATGCAGTCTGCTACATTCAGTCAATTATGCAGATTCCAAGGTCTGTCCCCTTATATTTTCCTTTTATGGAACAAAATTAAGCAGTTTAGATCAAGGCTGTGTGTTAATTAATGTCTATATTATGAACTCATAAAATGAGTAATAGTCGTTCATCATCATCGCAGACAATCCCTAATGGCCGAATATTGTTGTCTTCTAAGGGAAGAGTCTTGGTGGTGGGTTGATGACTGTGGAGACTATTCTGGATATGCCTGGTCTTCGACAATGAGGACATACATTTCCAGGTGGAAGGTGGTCATGACAAGAGTTAACTTGACGCAACTTCCTCTTGGTATGTTTCTCCCTTTCGCCCTCTCTAAGACGACACTGGCAGGAAAATGGCCACTGCTTCTCAAAACATGTACTGATGTAGGAAGGACTGCAGGATATAGCTTCAGAAAGGCTGAACAAATGATGGGTTGCCATTAGTTTTTCATACTCTCTGACTCTCTTTATGGTGCTTCCCTTTGGCCTGGTGTATTTAAGCTAGGGTAGGAACCTTTGACTTAGACTGCTATAACTATTGCTGGGCCTCCACTGAGTCTGGAGTTCTTTCCATTCATCTTTGATAACTCCCCTTTCTTCTTGCATATGTACAGTTAGCTGTTCCGGTCTACAGCAAGAGCTTTCTCCTTGTGCCCTAGGTTGTTAATTGTGATATAAGGCATTTGTGGCATTCTGTGCTTCAAGAATTGCTTGCTCTCCCAAGGGAAATCAAACATACCATTACTTGTAGACTTGATGGACTTACTACGGAGCCATATCCATCTTTCCCCAAAACATCTAATTCCTTCTATTCTCTCAGACTATGTACTGAACCAATCTCACCCATGCTCGGCGAGTTATGGTGAAGACCACACTTGCCACTAATTATACAATCAGTGAAAATGGACTCGATGAGAGGCATCATCTGGCTATTCTTGCTAGTCTTTTCTTTAGGCCACCACCCATGATGATTCTTCTTGAAGCAACACTAAGGAGCAAAGAAATTACAGTAGCAACATGAATTCCTGACCCTTTCCCCCATAAGACAGCAAAGTGCAGCCTGTCAATCTGATATCTGAACTTGACTTTTGACTCCTCCACATTTCCACTGTGAGCATGATCACTCTTTACAAAACAAGCTAACATAAAATTACTGATGCATAGGTCAGAGGTAAACTCTTCTTAACAGAGAATTTATTTTTGAAACATTTGCGACTGTTGCAGTGATTTGAAATATCTGGGTGGTTCCCCGAAGGCATGAGTAGTGCATTACTTAAAAGGGCATCTCCATCTCTGTCATACCTTGATTTTACAGACCTCCGTTGAGAAGTAGGCGCCACTGAATCCAGTGGCGTTTACTTCCAAGAAAGGTTAAATTCTTAGCACCTCAGCTCAAGCAATGGTCGCACCTATCCCACCTTTCCAAATGTTTGTGGAGAAGAACAGTAGGAATCAATCCTAGTGCATTCCAGAGTTCATTTTGTCTTGAAAAATATACAGATTGTTTGTGGCAGCTATCGCAATAATGTTCTCTGTTGGGTGCCATGCTGTATGCAGGATCTTCTTAGTAAAGTCCAGACTGTCAACGCTGATGTCGTCTTTTCTCCTCTTGCCTCCGACACACACTCGGCGAGGTTTCAGGATTGCCCGGGGTTTGCTACTCTCTCGGGAGGCCTCTAAAGTCACGTCGCGCTTGGTATTCCGATCAAACATTCTAAAGAAGTTGTTATAGGCCCCTGTCATAATGACACTGCAGAGGAGATAAACACCGTGAGTTGTTGTTTTCAAGCACTGCAAATTTTCTCTGTGCAAATTCCTCTAAAAAGGTGTGTTCTTGAACAAATCTCTTTCATTTCTACCAGGTTTGAAATATAAACAAATTTAGGAAGACATATATATACCTTTACCTGCAAATAGAAAATACTGTTCAACAGAAGTGGAATTGCAAGGCAATATTGCCATAGCAGACTAACATATCAAGTTGGCCAAATTGGCCTCCTTAAGAAAGTTATTGGACTTTCTGAGGAAAAATGTTTCCCTGATTCTGGAGCCAAGCAGAATTGGCTAAAGGAGGATTATAAAGATTCATCTTGCTCACAAAACCTTGCTCAAGGTGTGCTTTCCCTTTTTCATTATTTTTTTAATTTAAGTTCATGCATTCTTCCTTTCATATTATTGGTGGTTGTTGATATGTCCTTTGCTTTTACATTTTGGTATCACTGACAATATATATTTCAAAAATGTGGGTGTAAAAAGGTAAACGTTTCCCCTTGACATTAAGTCTAGTTGTGTCTGACTCGGGGGGGGGGGGGGGGGGTGCTCATCCCTTTCTAAGCCAAAGAGCCGGCGTTGTCTGTAGACACCTCCAAGATCGTGTGGCCAGCATGACTGCATGGAGCACCTTTACATTCCCGCTGGAGTGATACCTATTGATGTACTCCCATTTGCATGTTTTCGAACTGCTAGGTTGGCAGAACCTGGGGCTAACAGCAGGAGCTCACCTCGCTCCCTGGATTTGAATCACTGAACTTTTGGTCAGCAAGTTCAGCTGGTCAGCAGTTTACCCGCTGTGCCACCAGGGGCTCCCTTAGTGCAGGGGTCCTCAAACTACGGTCTGGGGGCCAGATACGGCCCTCCAAGGTCACTTATCCGGCCCTTGCTCAGGGTCAACCTAAGTCAACACAACAACAATAACAGATTATCTGCTTTGAACTGGATTATATGGCAGTGTAGACTCATATAATCCAACTCAAAGTTGGATTATCTGCTTTGATAATATGGAGTATATATCGGTGTAGAAGGGGTGTAGAAGGGGCCTGATCTAAACCCCCAATCTAAATTAAGTATAACACGATTTGGACTGAAAACATTACCTGTCCGAGCCATTCCACGCACATTCAAACTTGTCAAAGATGCAGTCATTTTCATAAAGGGAACACAACTTGCTTCTCAAATAGTCGTGGATCTGTTTGGTGAACAAAAGACACCATTGGTCCTCCAAGGCAAGACCTTGCTTACAGGCTATCAGTGCCAACTTTTAGAAGCCAAGAGACATTGAAAAGACAGGTTTTTTTTTCCATATGTAATCACTGCCTAATCTCTTCATTCATCGTCTCCACCCCAGCAAAATGCACAATTGGGAACACATCAAATCTCAATTTTCTCTATCATTGCTTTAAACACCCTCCCAATCTAACCCTCTTATATTTTTTCCCTTAGGATAAAATGTGGGTTAGGGGAAAAATACAACACATTTTGTTCCAGGAGATTAATGGAATGAAATTATTTAAAAAAAAACATGGTTGAAAAATATGACTGGCATAATACATTGCAATAGCTTTGTAGAATATCCCACTTGAGTTTATAATCTTATATGCATTTCCTTTTGCTGGGAAGGACAAGATTATCTCCTCTGCCAGAGCAGAAATTACCCTCTTGCTAGGATAATTATATGCAACAAAATCACAAAAAACTAAACTAAACAAAAGAAAAACAAAAAACAAAGTGGCTTTATGGAGAAATCCCAGATTTCTGTAAAGAAATTCGGAACCCAGGAATGCTAAAAAGGGCTGTCCTAGCTGATTCTCTGCTACTGGAAAATATCACATAAGACTTTATAGGTCAAAAAATAGCATTCTGAATATATACGATTATACCAGTTTCATTGAACAATTTGTAGAATTATATTTAAATATTTGTATAGAAATTTTAAAAAATGAGCCATAAAATACCTGATATATTTCTATAGGCTTTGTTTCCATGTTCAGATCCCAAACCTTGACAGTGAGATAATCCCTTGCTAACATATATCGTCCGCTGTGGCTGAATTTGACATCCGACACAGAAGAAATGATTTCAGAGAAAAAGGAGCGGCTACCGGGGTCTTCTGGTTCTTCAAAAACTGGTAGAGTCAACAAGATAGAGAGAGAGAGAGAGACCGATTCGTCAACTGTAGGATTAATGAATTAGTACAGTGCTATCAAAAGTAGAAGTGTGACACAATATCATTTAAATGGAGTAGACTAATCTTCTATATGGTAATGTTAGTTTGTGGGATTAACAGAACTCAAAAACCACTGGATGAATTGACGCAAATTTGGCCACAAGACACCTACTAACCCAAGGAGTGACCATCACTCAAAAAATTGAGTTTGTCATTTGGAGTTATAGTTGTAGTACACCTACATCCAGAGAGCACTGTGAACTCAAACAATGATGGATCTGGACCGAACTTGGCATGAATATTCCATATTCCCAAATATGAACACAGATGGAGCTTGGGGGAAATAGACCTTGACATTTGGGAGTTGTAGTTACTGGGATTTATAGTTCACCTACAATTAAAGAGCATTCTGAACCCCACAAACGAGAGAATTGGGGCGAACTTCCCACACAGAACACCCATGACCAATAGAAAATACTTAAGGCCATCCCGTCCAACTCCCTTCACCACAGCAAGAAAACGTAATCAAATACTGTTTACCCACAAGCATAAAGAAATTACATAGATTAGGAACCAACACTTTCTCATTACTTTATTTTCCAGATCATCAGACTGGGCCACAGCAACACATGGCAGGGAACGGCTAGTAAGGGATAAATGTTGAAGCTGTTTGCAATTTATAATGTAGATTTCAAAGTATGTATGTATATGTTTAAAATGCAGTAGCTATGTGCCGAGTGTAATGTATTCCTGTGTGGAAAGAGTTAACTGAACCTTGGAGGGAACAGCATTCCTAGAGAGGTCATAAATCAAGTGTATAGAACAAATGGATGCAGCGTCGTAGGTCATACTGGACTCTGGAATGCAAGAGGTGTGGACTAGTACTGATAACAGTTTGTGTTTTTTCGCAATCTTACAATCCGACAATCTGACGGTAAAGAAGCAAGTTTATGATGTGCTGAGTGTTAAGTAGCTTCTAATATATATAGCTGTAAAATAAAGTAGTTTATAGCCTAAGGTGGCTGTGATGGATCTGTTCCTGCCTTGCTGTGCTGCCGATGCCACTGACAATAAAAAACATTAGGCAATGAGAGTAAGGTTTATAGAACTTTTTGTTTGTTAGTAAAGTATTTGTGTATGTGTGCGTTTTGTTTTTTAGTTAATAAAAAACTATATAGATTTGCAGTATTTGGGAGCTAAACTGTTACATGAAAATGTCACTCTTGAACTTACGTTTGAAATGTTTGTCACAGAGCGCAGATGCCCTCATGTCACAAAGTCTCAAAGAGCCTTTGCTGCTGCTGTAGACAAAGAGATTGCAGTGGTGTGGATGGAATTCAGATGCCGTTATAACTTCCGTCAAGTCTTCCATGTTAGCTGGCTTTATATCTACAATGTCTGAATAGCAATAGTGATTAAGGAACAAACAGTATTTTGGAGACAAAACTGTATTTACTGAAATCTAATGTGCCATCGCATCGAATGCGCTTCTCATTTTTCAAAACCCAGAAATCAAGAAAAGCATTTGCCAGTGAATGTAATACACAGCAGCAAAAAGTGCTTATTAATTTAGCTAAAAAAGTGAGCATTATTTTTTAAAAAACAAATTTAGTTATTTACCTTCGTTGCTCTATACATTTCAAACATTTTGTGTGTGTGTCAGAAGCAGCTTGAGAAACTGCAAGTCACTTCTGGTGTGAGAGAATTGGATGCCTGCGGGGACATTGCCCAGGGGATGCCTGGATGTTTTACCATCCTGTGAGAGGCTTCTCTCATCTCCCTGCATGGGAAGCTGGAGCTGACAGATGGGAGCTCACCCCGCTCCCCAGATTCAAACTGCCAACCTTCAGATCAGCAGTTCAGCCAGCACATCTTTCTGTTCTGTACAACAAGGACTCGGCCCACTTCATTGAAAAAATCAGCAATCTCAAGCTAAATACCAATGACAAACTGATCAGCTTTGATGTGGTGTCTCTATTTACCATGGTCCCGGTAGCAGACACCATGGCACTCATCAACCAGAGGTTCCCAGAAGACATCACAGCTCTGTTTCACCATTGCCTCACCACCAGCTACTTTCAGTGGGACAATGAATTCTACGAACAGAAAGATGGAGTAGCTATGGGGAGCCCTCTCAGCCCGGTCATAGCTAATATAGCAGAGCACCTGATGAACCAACCTGGACACAGCATATTATTTGAGAACACAGAAATGCTGGACCACTCTAACAACCACCATGTCAGACTACACAGAGAAGCCATTGAAATCCACAAGCATGTGGACAATTTCAACAGAAAGGAACCATGAAAATGAACAAAATCTGGCTACCAGTATTAAAAAACTCAAAAATTACAACAGCAAAACAACAGAGAGTAAACAATCAGGCACATCAAATCACTCTCAACAAAAGATTCCCCCAGGCACTTCCAAGCCATTAAATGCTAATCAAGGTGGTCAGTTGAAACATTCACACCTAGCTGCAGCAGACAAAAGTCCTTTGTCCCACCCTGGTCATTCCACAGATATATAAACCCATTTTCCTACTTCCAACAGACCTCACTACCTCTGAGGATGCTTGCCATAGATGCAGGCGAAATGTCAGGAGAAAATGCCTCTAGAACATGGCCATATAGCCTGGAAAAACCTACAACAACCCAGTGATTCCGGCCATGAAAGCCTTCGACAATACATGTGGACAATTTTTACAGAAAGGAGGAAACCATGAAAGTGAACAAAATCTGGCTACCAGTATTTTTTAAAAAACTCTAAAATCAGGACAGTAAATAAAGAACAACACTCTGAAAACAGGGGAATTTCTGAAAGGAAACAACCATGGCCAGCTAACACATCCCAACAAAAGATTCCCCAGACAGGAAGCAGCCAGGCTTTGAAGCTGCAAGGCCACTCAAAAGTAATCAAGGTGGCCAATTGCAACATTCACACTTGCTTCAAGCAGACAAGAGTTCTTTTTCCCACCTTGGACATTCCACAGATATATAAACATCACTTGCCTAGTTTCCAACAGACCTCACAACCACTGAGGATGCCTGCAATAGATGCGGGGGAAACGTCAGGAGAGAATGCTTCTGGAACATGGCCATACCACCCAGAAAACTCACAGCAACCCAACACATTCAGAAGTTTGTTTAAACATCCACCAACCCAGAAATGAGTGGCAAAACAATGCTGGAGATCTATAGTAGACTAATTAAAATACTTTTAATATATGTGTGTTATAGCGACAATTTTTATGCTTATATTTTGTTTTTTTAATCTTATGGTTATGTTTTTTTTTTTACTTTGTATGTTTTGTGATGTTACCTGGTAACAACTCTGAGTTTCCTCGGGGAGATGGAACGGTATATATATATAAATTATTATTATTATTATTATTATTATTATTATTATTATTATTGTGTAAGAGCGGTCCATGCAAGCAGCCATGTCAAAGGATACTAAAACTTCGATCTGTAATTGCTAAATGCCAGAGGTTAATCCTCAAATCATCAGCTGACATATATGTTTCACAATCACTGTTGACGGAAATGGAGTTGACATGATAGGTGTGGCCATTGGCGAAAATGCGTCTAGGGCTGACTTCTACCATCAAGTCCGTAGGCTTCAGTACAGGTACCTATAGAAACAAATAATATCATGTAAATTTCTTTCCATTGTTTCCAAGTGAATTTTTCAAAAATATAGATTTGTATATATAAGGAATGGAGCCCCCGGTGGCTCAGTGGGTTAAAGCACTGAGCTGCTGAGCTTGTTGATCGAAAGGTCGCAGGTTCGATTCCGGGGAGCGGCGTGAGCTTCCGCTGTCAGCCCTAGCTTCTGCCAACCTAGCAGTTCGAAAACATGTAAATGTGAGTAGATCAATAGGTACCGCTCCGGCGGGAAGGTAACGGCGCTCCATGCAGTCATGCCGGCCACATGACCTTGGAGGTGTCTACGGACAACGCTGGCTCTTCGGCTTAGAAATGGAGATGAGCACCACACCCCAGAGTCAGACATGACTGGACTAAATGTCAGGGGACTACCTTTACCTTTACCTATATATAAGGAACCTCTTATATTATACAATGACATTTTTTTTCTCCTTAGTAAAGGTCCAGTGAGTTTGATGGTAGCTGATTCCCCATCTGATTTGGGATGGGAGGCAAAAGGCACACTTACAAAGGAGCAAAACTACCAAACTTCTGAAGCTCTTTACTTAAATAAAGAGGTTTGCTACTGTGTGTCTTAGGGAGGGAACACTGTAATCCACTTTAAAGCAGATACTCTGGGATGAGATCCTGGGATATAGGGCAGTGGAGAAAGTGCCTAAGAGAGCCGGAATAGTAAGATGTGATCAGAAGGAGAGTTGCCTTTGCCCTCTCCTGCGGCTGAGAAAGTGTGACTGTCCAAAGTCACCCAGTGGATTTCCAGAGCCCAGAAGGGATTTGAATTCTGATTCAAACCACTAGACCAGCGAACACCCTTCTAAAATGTTACTTTTGTTAACTAGAGAATATTATGCCTTTATGCAATAAAACTAAATAATATTTAATATTTAGCTGCAAGTCTAACACAAATTTATAAGATGAACTTACAAAACTGTAAATTATTTAAGAATTTAGAGAGTACACATAAAAGACAAATCTATATGGTATAAGGTAAAGGGTCTTGGACTTTGACCAGAGATCTGGATTCAAACCTCATTCACATATGACTTAGGGTGCATCCACACTAGAATTAATACTGTTCGACAACACTTATGTCACAACTCAATGCTACGGAATCCTTGGATTTGTGGTTTGGTGAGGCACCAGCACTCTTTGCCGGGGAAGCCTAAAGACCTTGTAAAACGACAACTCCCATGATTCCATAGCACTGGGTCACGGCGGCTAAAGTGGTGTCAATCTGAATTAATTCAGATGCACCCTGTCAGGCAGAAAAATGCTGTATTAGATAGGAATGAATTTCTTGTAGCTCCAGTGTGTGGAAAAATACAATTCTAATGCACATGTGTTCACAGCAAAATACACTGAAGGGTTAAGAAAAATAGAGATGTGATCCTAGAGAGACAACTGAGTTATTTCCTCTTTGGAAGGAGAATAATAATAATAATAATAATAATAATAATAATAATAATAATCTTTATTTATATCCCATCATCATCTCCCTGAAGGGACTTGGGGCGTCTTACAAAGCACTCCAGGGCGCACATATAACATACAACAGGTAAAAATGGTACAAAAGTATAAAACAAGTCACATAAAATTATAACAACATCCCCTTGTCTACACATGTTAAAATCAAGACAATACAATTTTAAGACAGCAGTAGATTAAAACTAACTTCTGTCAATTCACAAGGTGCCAAGTGTCAGTGCCATATGGGCCCATTCAGCCTACTCAGGGTCAAAGGCCTGTCTGAACATCCATGTTTTCTGGTTGGAATGGAAGGGTTGAAGGTTGGGGGATAATCTAATCTCTTTTGGGAAGGTATTGCAGAGCCAGGGGGCCACCACAGAGAAGGCCCTCTCTCTTGTCCCCACCAACTGTGTTTGAGATGGTGGTGGCACCGAGAGAAGGGCCTCCCCTGTTGATCTCAGAGCCCGTGCCGGTTAGTAGAAAGAGATGCGGTCATGTAGAAAGAGATGTGGCATGTATGTGGACTTCCTCATTGCCATGTGCTGGCTCTCAGCCAAATTAGATAGCTTGCCATGATATCTCTAAATCTGTAATCCATCGTCATCCTTGTCATAAGTGCATTGCTATGATTGCATCTCTTTACACTGACAGCAGATCTGTAAATAGGCGTATGTAGCAATGACTGAAGAATAAACATCAAAAGGAGTTTGGATGAAATTCAGAGCTCAAGTGTGCTTATTCAAGAGGACTCAGCAGTGTTTTGGATTGGAACTAACTGCTTGTCTTTGAGACAGTCTGTCCCATTGCACAGCTGGAGGAGGCCAAGAAAGGAGGAATTCACATGACTACATATCAGGGTTGTTTTGTGTGTTTTACTTCTCCCTTCTACCCCCACAACACACCCCAGGATCATTCATTCACTCTCAGTGTAATTCAGTAACATAGGGTTATTGTGAGGAAATAATGGAATTAAATTCACTTTTAAGACCATAATAAATATGTATAGAGAAATCATGTTCACATGCAATCGTGTCTCTTTTTAAAACCATGTAATAATAGTAATAAGAATACCTGAACTTGATGGTTAATAGAACTAATAATACATATTGCACATTAATAGAACTGTAATTTGAATAGAGAAAACTCACCTGAAGTGAGGTCACAGTAGAAAGATCTTTTAGCTTTCCCTCTTCATCTTTTAAATTGTATCCCTCGGGTTTCTTATCTCGTTCAGTAACCTTCCAGAGTTTAATAGTTTTATCTTGAAACAAAAGTTAAACATGAGCCAACAATGTGATACGGTGGCAAAAAAAGCCAGTGGGATTTTGGCCTGCATCAATAGGAGCATAGTGTCTAGATCCAGGGAAGTCATGCTACCTCTCTATTCTGCCTTGGTTAGACCACACCTGGAATATTGTGTCCAATTCTGGGCACCACATTGAAGAGAGATGTTGACAAGCTGGAATGTGTCCAGAGGAGGGTGACTCAAATGATCAAGGGTCTGGAAAACAAGCCCTATGAGGAGCGGCTTAAAGAGCTGAGCATGTTTAGCCTTCAGAAGAGAAGGCTAAGATGAGACATGATAGCCATGTATAAATATGTGAGAGGGCGGAAGGAGCGAACCTTTTTTCTGCTGCCCTGGAGACTAGGACGCGGAACAATGGCCCCTTCACTGAGAAACATTTTAAAAGAACCTTAAAACCTGGCTTTTCCGCTGCGCCTTTGGCAAGTAGGTGCACAGCATGATATTTTACACCCCCTCAACGTTTTCGGCTAATGGAGTTTGTGCCCTCCAAATAGGATGTTCTGTCCCACAACTTTGTGTGTTTTACGAGTTCCATTTAAACGTCCTGCTCCTATTTTATCTCATCATAGTCTGTTAATTGTTTTTTATTCGGAATATGTGGCCTGCCCATTGTCATCTCTATTGTGATTGTATCTATTGGAATTTTTATTTTATTTTATTATTATTATTTTATTATTATTTTTAAAGTTATTTTGATAATGTTGTTGTTGTCTGTTGTATATGCTTTGATTTTGTTGCTGTATTATGTTGTTTGAGCTTGGGCCCATGTAAGCTGCTCCGAGTCCCCATCGGGGAGATGGTGGTGGGGTAGAAATAAAGTTGTATTATTATTATTATTATTATTATTATTATTATTATTATTATTCAAACTATAAGAAAGGAGATTCCATCTGAACATGAGGAAGAACTTCCTGACTGTGAGAGCCGTTCAGCAGTGGAACTCTCTGCTCCGGAGCGTGGTGGAGGCTCCTTCTTTGGAAGCTTTTAAACAGAGGCTGGATGGCCATCTGTCGTGGGTGCTTTGAATGCAATTTTCCTGCATCTTGGCAGGGGGTTGGACTGGATGGCCCATGAGGTCTCTTCCAACTCTATGATTTTATGAAACTAGCACTGTTACCAAAAAGGACACTGCAACCCATTTATTGTTTTTAATATAATTATTGTCTGAGAGGCAGAGACTGGAATCAGCCTGTCAATGAACTAGTTATTAACATTCTTTTTTTTCTCTAGTGCTTTCGCCTACTGGATCCCCCAATTAATGCTACGGTTTGAAGATGTTTTAGTTCATTAGCTTGGTAGAATGTGCTTGAATTCATTATACTGGGTGCCTCTCCCTTTCTCCCATTCAAGAAAATAAGAAGGTTGAGGCAGCAGGAGAAGCAATATGAGGACTGGGGGTCATGTCTACTACTGTTAGTCAGGATAGAAAGCGACGTCTTTTTAAGTCAAAGCAACTGAAGGAAAAGCAACAAACTACACTGGAAAAAAAATCTCAAAACTGTCCACATGGGTGCTGATGGTCTATTGTATACAATCCTTGGTTCATGTACAACATTATTACAATATTGTATAAAATTATCTCCACTGTCTGTGTATAAGGTGTATATGAAACATCAATTAATTTCATGTTCAGACTTGGGTCCCATCCACAAGATATCTAACTATGTATATACAGGCAGTCTCCAAGTTACATACAAGATAGGTTCTGTAGGTTTGTTGAATTTGTTTGTAAGTTGGAACAGGTACATTTTTAAGCATAATTCCAGCAAAAAAAAAAGTGTATTGAGCTTTGGATACCATAGGAAAGGTTAAAACCCCAGTGGGGTTTGTTTTGTTGTCTGTGCCCCTGTTCAGAAGAGTTCACCTCACTTTCTGTCCCTGTGAAATTGCATTTTAGGAAATTTGGCTTGTTGTGAAAACAAAGATTGGTGGAGATGCCTCCTCCCCCTCCCCTGATAACTCTTTTAGGAGTGAATTTCCCTTCCAAGTGGTAGATTTTGTTACAGTAAGTTGTAGCAGGATCAAGTGTGGGTTAAAGAAAAACCTTATGATGTTAATTATTATGTGCAGCTGGTAATGTAGGTCAGCCAGCATGTTTGGGCCTCACCCGATGGGGTATACCTGTATGGATTTTAGAATACAGTTTGGAGAAGCAATACGTTACTCTGAGGAGGAGAAGCAATATGCTGCTCTGTAGGAGATGCTGTTATACTCTATCAGTGATGCTTTTTGCTAGGGTGGAATAGCTATTTACTCAAGGTTTATGTTTTGCTCTCTCTCTCTCTCATTTGAATGAAGATGAAGAATCCTTATTCTGTGTTACTTACAAAGACTATCTAAGTTTATTGCACTGTTTGATTTTGTATGCAACACTGCAAGTTTATGTCTTTGCTAATAAGAGTAAAGTTTTTCTGCTCCTTTTTCCTTTTGCCTGTGTGTCTTTTGCATGGGACTTGGCTAAAACGCTTTTGCAACAGATTTCTCTTACTTCCTGTTGTCTCACCCCTGTTCTTAACTATGAGACATTTGTAAGTCAGATGTTTATAACTCGGGGACTGGCTGTATATGCAAATACAGATATTCCAAAATCTGAAAATATTCAAAACATTTCTAGTCTCAAGCAATATTAGTGAACTCTGTATTAGTCTTACCATTTGTTGACAGGAGAGAATGGCCTGCATTCTGCTGAGGCAGCCACTTTATCTTGTTTATTTTTTCCTCTATTTCCAAACTCTTCAGATAGTCAAACTCCGGTTCGTGGCTCTGGAAGGTGCTGTAAACATTGTACTCACCCTGGCCGTATGGATCATTTTTACTCTGCAAAGACAGTAGGACAAATAAAGGATGAACGCCCGGTGTCAATGTTTATCCCAACATGGAAAAAGCAGTATCGTCAGTATATTCAAGAGGAACCATATGCACTGCTGGGGAACTCTCCATGCAATGCACAGAATTGAGTTGCTTGAGTTGACATGTGTAATGACTCCCTCACCTTAGCAGGCTAGCTTAGGCCTAAGAAAGTGGGCCTGGCGAAGCCACGGCATCCATTTTAGGAAAGGCAGACACCATCTTAGGTTAGGTTTGTCTTGAGGGGGCGTGCTCTAGTCTTGGAGGGAAAGTTAGAAGGCTAGGATTGGTTAGGAAGATGGGGGCGGAGCCTAAGGGTTCTAAAGGAAAAACATGGCTTTTAAATTGAGGTTTGAGTTCCCAGTTTGCCAGTTGGACTTTGGATCGGGTAGAGAGAAGAAGTGTGGGTGTTAGCAAGAGCAGTTTGGGTTTTTAAAGAAGAAGTTTGGTTCAGTATTTTGTCTAGTATTCAGAATAGCTCTTGTATATAGCTAGAATACGGTGTGGAGCAGAACCCCTTTAGTGGTCTGTTCATTTCCTAAGGAAGACTAGTTCAGGGTTTTTGGCTAGTTTCCTAAGGGGAATTTTTGGGGAGTTACTTTCAGAGATTCATTTCCTGAAGTAATTTTCTGTGTTGTAACTTTTAAGTCTTATAACCCAGAATTTTTTAAGATCTTTACTCAAACGCAACCACAAGCTTTTTATGCCAGTATTTTACTGAAACCATTAAGCTTTTGTATCTGAATCATTCAAGCCTGTTCAATAAACGTTCTTGTTATTTTTACCAACTTATACCAGCCTCAGTGTGAATACCTTTGGGGTCAAAGCAAATTATTCAAGTCAGCTTTCAGCAGCCTTTAAGAAAACTATAGTGACACAGGGTGTGTTACTGAACAACCTTTCAATAATACCTTAGCCTATTTATTAATATGGTGGCAGCAGAAATCTTTTAAAGAATCATTTTAAGCCTCTCAGTTCCAGTGGTTCCCAGTTCCTAGCTTTTACATATACAGTTGGGTAAACAACCATACTCCCTCTATATTTTGGTGAGCTAGTCTGTAGTGGAGGTGTCATCGTTTCAATTTGGTTGAGCAGCAGAGGGATTATTTCTCTATATTTCCCAGTCTGATAAATCCAATTTTAAAATCTCACTTCTACCCTCGCTGCTATCTTTTATAACATGCAGCAACCAGCACGGGACAGATATGATCGCTGGCTGCTATCACCAGATTTCTTCATGGTGATAGTAGCAAGTGAAGCCAGGCTTAGAAGGGAAGATGCTAATATAGTAAATAGTATGTATCGCACCCTAAAGGGAGATATTAGTTTCTAACGCTTTTCCCAGCACTAGTCTATGCAATCAGGCCATCCAAAAAACCTTTCCTCTCCCACTCTTCCACTTCTACTCGCTTTCTGAATGCCCACTACATACTCCCACAACGAAAGCATTGCTTTCAATTATATATTTTTAATTTCAACACAATTGGATATTTAAAATAATATTTATAAAAATAAGTAGAACAATGGGGAAGGGCACAGAATACTATAGGAAACACAATGTTTGTACTGCAAGTAGTATTCTCAAGTTCAGCTGCTGGGGAAAAGGAACAAGATTCCTATCTACAGAAATACTTAAACATTGGCTTTAATGTCCTGCATTAAGTATAGATTGGAAATAAATTACAAAATGACAAACAAAACAATGCAACACAATAAACTCTTATTGATGCCATTGTTTTTTCAAGGTACAAATAAATAAACAAACAGTGAGATAAACAAACAATGAGATCTGGTGTTTATATTCTTCAGTACAGCAAAAATTGAAATTGCAAAAGCTTTGGAGGATATTGGATCTTCTGGCAAACTACAGCCTTTTCCAGAAATGTTGTTTGCATCTACTTGAATAAAATGTATATGAGACAAAAAGTGAACTGCAATGGCCAATGGTTTTGTGGCCAAAGCAGATAATAATAGTGGTGAAAGATATTTTTCCCCACCTCCAAATTTGAGCAAAATGATCAGCTCCTAATAAGGAAATATTACAACATTTGGTACTGTTTATCTTAAATTAAAAATAAATAAGGGGAGGAAGCCTTGAGGGGATGGTATTAATGATGTATATCATGCGGAGAATGGTTGGGAAGAACAGTTTCTCCCTTGGGCACAATGCTAAAACCCAGACAAAGTTCAGCAAAAATAAAACGAGGAACTTCACAGAATACAAACTTTGGAATTTCTTCTCACAAGAAATAGTGATGATTTTTAAGAGAGAAATTTGATATATTCACAAATTTATTTAGTTATTCATTTTGTGTCAAAAGCATTGCATAAATAAATAAGCATAAAACTGATAAAATAAAATGAGCACAAGAAGCTAAATAATTTGAGACCAAAAATGGGCAACAGCAACTACATTGTCTGTAGCTTTAAACAATTCTTGTGCATGAGGCAGGGCATTGTGGACAAGCATACAGATGCTGAGTTGTTTGTTCCGATTCAGAGTCACACAAGGTGGAGGGTTCTTCTAGGTAGTGCCATTTTGCCAGGTTGTCTTTTGATCTGCCCACTCCACTTCTGGGTCTGTTTAGGGACTTCCAAGTTGCCCATTCTTGGCTTGTCCCAGAGGAAGAAACCCTTGTGGGGGGGGGGGCATCCAGTTGGAATTGCCTGGCTTTTCTGCCCACAGGGATATTCTAGCTGTTGCTCGAGGAACATTTAGAGGAGCGGTGGTTCTCATGAAGTTTTTCCTTAATTTGAGCCTACTGGGAGGAGGCTGATAGCCATACAGTGGATGGCTTTCACAAAGTTCAACCTTATTTCTCTCCCAGTTAGCAGCAACTTCCCATCGCACATTTGGGGGGAGGCGTGCAATGCCAGATAGCTATAGAGCCTATCAACAGGTGTAGGTTTAAGACATCCTGTGATTATTCTACATGTCTCATTTAGTGCTATATTCACCTGCTTCACATGGGCAGATTTATGCCAGATGGGGCAGAAATACTCAGCAGTTGAATAAGACAAGGCTAGGGCTGATATTCTTATTAATTTTGAGTCTGTACCTCATGCTCTAGTAGTACGTTTCTGCGGGATGTTATTGTGTGCAGCTGCTTTTGTTTTGTGTTAGCACAGTGTTTCCTAAATGTTAGTGTTCAATCTAAGGTGACAGCGAGATATTTAGGGTGGGAACAGTGTTCAAGCTCTTGGCTTTCCCAGGTAACCTTCAGTTTCCTGTGGGCTTCATGATTACGTAGGTGGAAAGTGCACACTTCTGTCTTGGTAGAGTTAGGCTTCAGGTGGTTATCTTTGTAGTAGCTGAAGATATATCTTTTGCTTGTGTTGTTAGGCCAAGGTCATCAGAGTATATCCGTGGTTCCCAACCATTTTTTGACCAGGGACCACTTGACCAGGGACCACTCTGACCAGGGACCACTCTCCAGTATTAGTACCAAAAGGGTTACACATCATAAAGCATATATAAAGCTCTTTGTGAGTTGTGGTTGTGGCTGATCATTAGTAAACAAGGTTGGTGCAAGAACGCTACCTTGAGGTAGTCCATTCTTTTGCCTCCTCCATCTATTTTCTTGCCCTGAAACTCCACAGAGAAGCCGTGGTTTTCTAGGAGGGTCTGGATAGTTTTTGTATTTACAGATTACGTGCCATCAATAGCTATTTATAATGATGAAAATGTGCTCAAAATCAAGTCATGCTATACTAATCCTTTATCTTTTTTGATAGAGATAGACGCCCGGAATGCTGTAATTTCAGGAAGGTCTTTGCCAAGATAACCTATGATATTCTTGCAAATAAGCTACTAAAATGTGGTCTAGATAATGCTTGTCAAATTTGCAGATAACACCAAACTGGGAAGGATAAGATCAGAATCCAAAACGACCTGAACTGATTAGAGATCTGGGTGCAAACCAACAAAATGAATTTCAACAGGGAGAAATACATGCTACTAGCATATATACCTGGTGTTGCCTGGGTTAAGCATTTTGTAATACTACTCTTTAGAAACACTCATTGTTTCCTCTGAAATACTTAATAGAAAGCTTAAGAAAAAGTATTCATATATCTGTTGTTGTGCGCCATCATTTCCAATTTAAAGTGACTCTTAGGTTTTCTTGGCAAGATTTATTTAGAGAGAACTTGCCTTTGACTTTCTCTGAAGCTGAGAGAGAGATGCCCAAGGTCACTCCATGACCAAGTGAGAACTCAAACCAGGACCTCAAGAATTGTAGTCAAATGCTCAAACCACTAAATCTTGCTCACTCACTTCATACATTTACTCCCCCAAGATTTTTTTTCTGAACTCGATGGAACAAAAACCCTTTCATATAAGACAATGCATGGTTTCAGATCATTGCACTTCCTCTACTCAGTTTATTTTAGTCAATTGTTTTCATGAGATTGAGTTCTTTATGTCTGATGGAGACAATATAATAGTTTCTATTTCACTTCTGTTTTAAATGGGTTTTTTTTTTACTCTGCTCTTTGTAAACTAGCAAAACCAAAGAGGTTCCTTACATTTCAATACCATGGGTATGAATGTGTAGCACAAAGTGATAGTTTATATTATTGCATGAATAAATGCTCTTTCTATGTTAGACATTATAATAATATGCCTATCAAAATTAGATCCACTCCAGTATATTTTATATTCCCAAAGGAACAAAGTGATATAAAAAGAGCTGATATCTGTTATTTCTTTTGTTTTCCAGAATCCCCATCAAAAAACTAAAAACAAATCTATTTATTATTAATAATAAATATTAACAAATCTATCTATCTATTATTATTATTATTATTTACAGTATTTATATACCACCTTTCCCACCCCTGGGGGGACTCAAAGCAGTTTCTTTTCAAAAGCTTCAAAAGCTTCTTGAAATATTTTATCCCTAAATAATGTTGTTTAATTCAGGATGCTACGACTGAGTCTAAATTATAATATAGAGATAACATTAGTGTATATTGGTTTGGGGCTGATTACCCATATGAGAAGGATTTAATGGACTGGGTTGCTGTGAGTTTTCTGGGCTGTATGGCCATGTTCCAGAAGCATTCCCTCCTGACATTTCACCCACATCTATGGCAGGCATTCTCAGAGGTTGTGTCACGACCTCAAAACCCCTGAGGATGCCTGCCATAGATGTGGGCAAAATGTCAGGAGGGAATGCTTCTGGAACATGGCCATACAGCCTGGAAAACTCACAGCAACCCAGTGGTTCCAGCCATGAAAGCCTTCGACAACACGTTTAATGGACTTCCTTTCAGAAGATGCTGTGACAGATGCTATTCTTATTCATTTGGACATTTCCTCTTAAATCATACAAAACCCAACTCAACTTTATACATATGAATTCTGGAGAAAGCTTCACTGTAACCGTTTTCCTGCCTACTCAATGTCCATGCAATTAATTTCCAGCCTTAAAAACACTACTCAGTTATATTTGTGTCATTTCAAATTTAAACATGGTTCCATTTTCTATCACTGAATGGAAATAATAAAACAGAGAACTTGCAGACTGAATGGATGAATCCTGTGACTCTAAAGACTAGGCCATGGAACAATAGATTCAAATTGCAGGAAAAGTTCCACCTAAATGTCAAGAAGAACATCCTGACAATAAGAGCTGTTTCGCAATGGAACATCTCTGAAGGTGTTGAAGCAGGGGCTGGATGGTCATCTGTCAGGAATGCTTTGATTGGGTGTTCCCACACGGCAAGGGGTTGGGCTGGATGGTCCATGTTCTATGACTCTAAGATTCTATGATTTGACAAACAGGTTGTGAGATTCCATGTTTTAGAGCCAACCTTGGCAATTTGCAGATACATTGCAGCCCAAATCCCATCATACTTGGCCTTCAATTTGAATGTAGGATTTGTAGCCTAACGTAGGTGGAAGTCCCACCAGAACAGTCCAGTTTACTATAAACTACATATTATAAGATGTAAGCATGTTTTTGTGAAGTAGGAGACAGAAAAACCTCAGCTTCACTCTACCTGAAATATGGCAATGATATTATCGTGCCAACATTACTGAAACTTGGTTCAACCAGACTACCTGTCCGAACGTATCTCCTGCCAAGAACCATCACAAAGTTTAAAATCTTCAAGAGAGGCCCTGCTCTCGATCCCACCACTATCTCAAACACGGTTGATGGGGACAAGAGGCAGGGCCTTCTCAGCAGTGGTCCCCTGCCTATGGAATGCTTTTCCTATAGATATCAGATTGGCCACCTCCCCCTTGTCTTTTAGACGGAAAATCAAGACCTGGTTATGGGACCAAGCGTTTGATCAGTGAGCAGCAAGTGGAAGAAGATCACACAATTTATGGCAATAAATTGACCCGGACTGGTTTTTGGATTTCAATTTTAATGGATGTGTCTTAATTAATTGTTTTAATTGTTGTTTTAATTTTTAATATTTTGATTGTACTGTGGTTGCTTTTATGATGTTTTTGTTAGGCCGTTCTGAGTCCCCTCCTTCGGGGGGAGAAGGGCAGGGTATAAATATAGGAAATAAATAAATAATAAAATAAATAAATAAACTGGGACGGATCATTTGTCACTGAATGTGAGACTTACTTTGATAGTAAACAGGAAATTTTAAAATGTGTACCTCTGGTTCCCTTTGAAAGATGACCACTCGGCCTCCTTTGTCCCCTGTTGCCAGCAACTCCCCTGTGTGGTTGAATTCAACAGTTGAAATAATGTCAGCTATGGAACAAGAAAAGACAAGAAAAGAAAAGACATTAGTTGGCCAAGCAAGAAATAATGGATATTCTGAAAACAGAAAGTGAGGTAATAGCTGTTTCCTGAGCCAATCTTCACCACGGGGAAAAGTAGCAAAATAATACAGAACTATGTTTTTCTTTCACTCAGGAATGATATTACAAGTTGAATATCCCATATCCAAAATGTTTGGGACTACAGGCTTTTTTGGATTTAAGAATCTGAAATACCTTTATTTGCATATACATACATAATGAGGGATCTTGGAGCTGTGACCCACATCTAAAAAACATGAAATTCAGTTGTGTTTCATATATGGTACATCCTATACACATAGCTTGAAGGTAACTTCATGCAAAATATTTTGTCATACTTTGTGCATGAAATTAAGTTTGCATTCATTAAACCATCAGAAAGCAAAGGTATCACTATCTCAACCACCCTTGTGGACAATTTTGAAGGTTTTTGGATTTTGGAATTCCAGATATGGAATGCCCAGTCTGTGCCATCTCTTAAGGCACTGCTTCTTCAACTGGGGGTCTTGACCCCAAATAGGGTTCCCTTCACTCAATATTGTTGTTGTTCATTCGTTCAGTCGTTTCCGACTCTTCGTGACCTCATGGACCAGCCCACACCAGAGCTCCCTGTCACCCGTCACCACCCCCAGCTCCTTCAAGGTCAATCCAATCACTCAATATTAGGGTCACGAAAAATCTGGCATCAACTGTTAACAACAACATAAAGTGTTCAATGAACTCTGCAGAAAATGCTTCAGCTGTGCTTCATAAATAGGGGAAGTCAGTCTATTTGACAAGCCTTGCAAATGTTGAATTATTATCCATAAATGTTTGATGTTTTTTAATACCCATTTTATATATCTATATACTCAGGGTCATATAAAAATTAGGCAGAAAGAGGACGTGAGTTGAAAAGGTTTAAAAAGCCCCGTATTAGAACCTGAGAATTATTAACATACTCATTATTCTAGCAAGTGAATGAAATTATGATGAGGCTCTCATTTTACTATTCTTTCTTCTAATTAGCCTAGACAAAAAAATAAGAAATACAGCAGAATCCCATTTATTCAATGAAACTGATATTTCATGCTAGCAATTTAAGTGGTAGTCCTATTTTACAATATTATTTTGACCAGAAAGTCGACAGTTCAAATCCGGGGAGTGGGGTGAGCTCCAGCTGTTAACCCTAGCTTCTGCCAACCTAGCAGTTCAAAAACATGCAATGTGAGTAGATCAATAGATACCGCCTCGGCGCAAAGGGAAAAGGCAGCCATGCTGGCAACACAACCAGGAGGGTCTACAGACAACAGGCTCCTCAGCGTGGAAAAATGGAAGAAGAGCACCTCCCCATGGTCAGAGTCGAGCATCACCTCCAGACGCCGGAATGTCCGAAATGTTTGGGACTAGAGGTTTTTTGGATTTAAGAATCTGGAATACCTTAATTTGCATATATATACATAATGAGGGATCATGTAGCTGCGACCCACATCTAAAAACATGAAATTCAGTTATGTTTTGTATACTGTACATCCTATACACATAGCCTATGGGTAACTTCATGCAAAATATTTTGTCATTCTTTGTGCATGAAACCAAGTTTGTATTCATTAAACCATCAGAAAGCAAAGGTATCACTATCTCAACCACCTTTGTGGACAATTTTGAAGGTTTTTGGATTTTGGAATTCCAGATATGGAATGCCCAGTCTGTGCCATCTCTTAAAGCACTGCTTCTTCAACTGGGGGTCTTGACCCCAAATGGGGTTCCCTTCACTCAATCCAATCACTCAATATTAGAGTCACAAAAAATCTGGCATGAAAACAATGAAAATGAACAAAATCTGGTTAACAATATTAAAACAATACCAGAATCAAGACAGTAAACAAGAAACACCACTCAGAAACAGAGGAACTCCAAGACAGCAAACAATCAAGTGCCAGTTAACACCTCCTAAACAGAGGATGCCTTCATGCAACAGACGCAAGGCTGCCTTTATGCAGATACCTTCACCGATTGACTTTGCAGCTTCATGGCTAGTCAATAATATTCAAGCATGCCTATTGCAACATTCACACTTGCTTCAAACAGAAAAAGGTTCTTTCTCTCACCTTGGACATTCCAAAGATATATATACACTCCACCTGCTTCACTGCCCACAGAACCTCTGAGAATGCCTGCTACAGATGCAGGCAAAACGTCAGGAGACAATGCTACTAAAACATGGCCGTACAGCCTGAAAAACTCACTGCAACCCAGTGATTCCAGCTATGAATGTCTTTGACAACACATAGAATTTGATTCTCGGTTAGCAAGTCCCTTAATTCTGATAATTAAGAGAATAATAACTAGGTTTGTATAGGATACCAGCCTTCATTTGCAAGTTTACATTTTACTTTCCCTTATTATAGCTTCATGAATTCCAGTTCTAAACTCTCTGCATGTGGCATGGGAATTTAGTTCTGAAAGAATAAGGGAAAGTTTTGTGTGGCTAAATGGACAGAGAGTTGTATATGAGCACAAATTGGTACATTTCACAATATTTGAGAACATCATTCCTGTTCTCAAGGCATATCTGTTCGAAGTACTGGGCATATCTTTCCATTTCTGAGCTTTGCAAATGTTGGACCAACATGAATTCTAATTATGGTCTGAAACTCAGGAATGTTTAATCTCTGGATTTGCTTATTTTGAAGAGGTGAAGTATTGGTAGTCTATCCTCTCTGCATTGTATTTATATTTGTTTCTTGAAAACTGACCATTCTGATACAGTGATAACCATTAATTTATTCCAAAGCACACACTGTTTTCTCCTCTCTAATTTTACTTACAAAGTTCAATACATTTATTGTGACAGCCAAAGACCACTACAAACAGCTATAAAATCCATCTCCAATGCCAGAAATACAGCTTAATGGTGTAACATTAGAAAATGTTGACCATTTCCGCTACCTTGGCAGCCACCTCTCCACAAAAGTCAACATTGACACTGAAATACAACACCGCCTGAGCTCTGCGAGTGCAGCATTTTTCTGAATGAAGAACAGAGTGTTTGAGGACCGGGACATCCGTAGGGATACCAAGGTGCTTGTTTATAAAGCTATTGTCCTCCCAACCCGCTATATGCCTGTGAGACGTGGACTATCTACAGACGTCACATGCAACTCCTAGAATGATTCCATCAGCGTTGCCTCCGAAAAATCCTGCAAATCTCTTGGGAAAACAAGCGGACAAATGTCAGTGTGCTGGAAGAAGCAAAGACCGCCACCATTGAAGCAATGGTCCTCCACCATCAACGTCGCTGGACCGGCCATGTTGTCCGGATGCCCGACCACCGTCTCCCAAAGCTGTTGCTGTACTCCGAAGTCAAGAACGAAAGATGGAATGTTGGTGGACAGGAAAAGAGATTTAAAGATGGGCTCAAAGCCAACCTTAAAAACTTTGGCATAGACACTGAGAACTGGGAAGCCATGGCCCTTGAGTGCTCCAGCTGGAGGTCAGCTGTGACCAACAGTGCTGTAGAATTTGAAGAGGCATGAATGAAGGGCAAAAGAGAGAAACATGCCAAGAGGAAGGCGTGTCAATCCAACTCTGACTGGGACCGCCTTCCATCTGGAAACCAATGCCCTCACTGTGGGAGAACATGCAGGTCAAGAATAGGGCTCCACAGTCACCTACATACCCACCGCCAGTACACCGATCTTGGAGGACAATCCTACTTATACAACGAGGGATCACCTAAGTAAGTAAGTAAGTAAGTAAGTAAGTAAAATATATAAAATACTCAAAATAAAAAGTACGGTAGTAACCAAAGTTTTTACCAAGCTCCTATAAAGAATAAAAACATTTCAAGTTATAGGTAGACTTAAAAATTGAAAATTGAATTAATACTTTTAATCTCCATGGCAATTTATGCCAATTTTATCACTTTCTGATCTTTTTAAAAGTCAAAACATGAGTTCCATAATCGGTTCTGCAAGAGAGTTCTCACTTCTATTTGTCAGCAAGGGATTTACAAATCTTCTTCTGGGATCAAAGAAAGACTTTGCTTATAGAGTACTATTAAAAATATAAACTGTCCAATTGTATTTTAATATAAACATTATTTGTTCATAAGGATAATATCAAAAACTGGAAAAGACAATAAGCTAGTATGCGCACTTCAGACCGATGATTGTGTAAAATCACAGCATGAAATTTTGTAATGTTACAACAACACAGAATATATCCATGACCCCATATAATATAATAGAATTGAGAGGGTATGAAGCCTTATGAAGTCTATGATTACATCTTGAGGGAGAATGGGTTAGCTATCTGTAATTGGCCCTTTGAGTGGTCATCTATGCATTCACATGTGAGGTTCATTCAGTACCAACACTAACACTGAAAGCTTCTAGTGGTAGTTTAGTGGTAGCCCTGCTCCAGTAACTCATGTGGATATAAGTCATACATTTCCACTGAAACACTGGGCCGTTCCACACAGCCATATAACCCAAAATATCAAGGCAGAATATCCCACAGTATCCGCTTTGAACTGGGTTATCTGAGTTCACACTGCCATATGTCCCAGTTCAAAGTCGGTAATGTGGGAATTTATTCAGCTATGTGGAAGGGGCCCTAGTACCAAGTTTGTCTGGAGGCCTGGAATTGAAGGATAGCATGAAGAGGGGAGGAAAATGAATTGTGTGAATTGATGGATGACCACTCAAAGAACTACAGTTAAAGCTTGGCCATGTCTTCTTCTTTATGGTCTCTGTGATTCACACCTATGAGACAACAGCAAGCTTACTTACTTCAGTGGTTCTCAACCTGTGGTTCCCCAGGTGAGTTGGACTACAACTTCCAGAAATCCCTGCCAGTTTATCTGCTGTTAGGATTTCTGGGAGTTGAAGGCCAAAACATCTAGGGACTCACCGGTTGAGAACCACTAACTTACTCACTGAGAGTGGTGGGTGATGCCAAGGCTAA